GGAGATCTAATATAAGGTGACAGAAGATGATTTGACTTTGGGTAGTGGGCACACAGTGCCATATACAGATCCTGTAACATGAAAATCCACACCTGAAACCTACATGGTCCTATTAGTCAATGTCACCCCCAATCAATTTAAATATATATATACTAAATTCGTGCAAAGGGCTCAGCCCTGGCAGCCCTGGCTTCATCCAGAAGGTTGTCCGGACGGTCGTCAGGATGGTTGTCTGGAAGGTCATTCTGGTGTTGGTCTAATTAGTATATTAGCTCTTTATTATATAGGACACGGACAATAGTTTAGTGAAGGGCAAGGGAGGGTGGAGTGAGTGGAGGTGGGCAAAGGGCAGGGAAAAGGGGGAAACCCAAAATTATGTCAACATTAAAAATTTTTACTAAAAATATAAGATTTATTTACCCATATTTTTCTTCCTGAGATTTACTGACTGTATGGGGAGGTTTCCGAGTGCTTTTCCTCTGAATTATTCCTTTAGGTCCTATCTAAGTAGAATCCTTACGATGTAACAACATGAAAGGTTGCACATAAGTCACCTGTGGCAAAACAATTCTAATTAGTCATTGACTTAAATGTGCCAGTTAGCTAAAATACAACCTCGTGGGCCCTGATGGAACCGGAGACCAGCCGCTTGTGTCACAACAGAAACAGGAACAAAAATGTAAGGTTAAAACAAATTAGTTACAAAACAGCAACGGTCAAAGGATGTCCCCAAAAGAGAAGAAAACAAGCAAAGAACAATTGTAACCAAAGTGTTCTTCCACACAGAGGAGAGCTCTCAGGCAGAAACGCACTCCCTCCCACGGGGACTCTGGGATTAGTCATAGTCTTACCCCCTTGCCAAGCGGGTACTGGGCTGTCTCCAGGCCAAGCCCCAGAGGGCTGAAAAGCCCAGAGGCCAGTGATAGAGGACTCCTGGTGTGCACACCGGTTTGACTTGCCTGGTCAGACTTAGGAGTCAGTCCCCCCACTCCTCAGAGACCCGTTTCCTTCACCAGCTAAGCATCTCAGGCAGCTAACACCTAGAGAGGGAGAGAGGGATCCTAGCTAAGTGGGGCATGCCCCCCTCTTATTCATTTCCCTTAGTAACCAACAAAACAGACAGCAAGAACATAGCGCTATGGCGTATGTCTATAGGCAATGGTACAGTGTCGCTTCCAGAAAGATCTGGCTCTTGCAGAGACCGAGTCCCTGGCTTGGCTGCCTCTTGTCTAAATCACAGAGGCAGAGGCGCCTCACAACTCCGCAACCAGAGAAGTGTTTTTGATCTGGAAATGATTAGGCTCAGCCCGGACTTTCAGATTCAGAGAAAAAACAAACACACACAACCCTTAATGAACCGACTCAATGCCTAAGAAGGCGATGGGGAGACCCATGACCAGGAGCGGACTCCTACAGGAAAAAGTCCTGGCAGCGCTGCAGGAAAGAACTCCAATCATGCCCTGGGACCCCCAGTCCAGGGAACCAGTGGGACTCCCGCCCTTACCAGCCCTGTACCTGAGAGTCCCACTGCTGTCCCAGTAATTTGAAACGGGAACTGAAGTTCAGCTGTCGGTGGCTACCAGAGTTATAAGTAGAAACAAAGTTGAATCTCTGAGGTGCTTCTATTCAGATGCTGGCCATGTAAGGCAGCAGGTATAACACCAACCCCCAAAAGCCACCCTCCCATCTCATTTCAAGCCAGCCATTATACAGGGTTAGAGGGTGGCAAAGAATCTAAAACTTACTTGGATCTGTTTTCTGTCCTGGTCCTTGTAAAGATTCACCCCAGACGTCTCTCTCCCTTCAGGCAGGTCCTGTCCTTGATTTTCTTTCAAAATGCATTTCTCTCAGAGTGATTGGCCCATCTTCAAGGCTACTTATCTTTATTTTTCTTACAACATGTCCTCCACAGTTTTCCCAGAGTCTGTAAAAAAAAATCTCTTCTCTACAGTTAGTGCAGTGAATAGCTATTAGTCAACTGTGAGTCTATTAGTCTATTAGTCTATTCTTATTGCTATCCTTCCCCTGTCAGAATAAGATGAAAGTTTTTATTTAATTAACCAAGGCTTCAGAACATGGAATGGCCCCACAGGGCACAAGCAGATCCATCCTTCCCCAGTCTAGCTCCCATGGTGTCACTTCTTGCATAGCCATGCATCTAGCAACACTAAATTATATATATAAAATTCTTTATTGTTCAAAGTATTACATATGTCTCCCTTTTTCCCCATTGACCCCCTCCAGCCTGCCCCAGGTCTTCACCACCCCATTGTCTGTGTCCATGGGTTATACACATATGCATACAAGGTCCTTGGTTGATTACTCCCCACCATCTACCCGCATCCCCTCCCCTCCACTTCCCTCTGGGTTTCTGCACTCTGTTCCATGCTTCTATGTCTCTGGATCTACTCTGTTCATCTGTTTACTTTGTTACTTGGATTCCACATATGAGATTATGTGATACTTATCTTTCTCTGACTGACTTATTTCACTTAGCATGACACTCTCCAGTCCCTCCATGCTGCCTCAGAGGGTAAGAGATTCTTTTTTTTAGCAACACTAAATTTCTTGGTGTCAGAGTCATGATGTTTTTTTAGTACACATTCCGTTCATTCTGGGTGTTCAGCCTTTCAAACACGGAAGTGGTTTCTACTCATTATGTCCAGAGAACTCATTCCCTCCTCACATGCTTTGGATTTCTGATCAAGTATTACCTTCTCAGACCCAGATTGCCTTATACAAAAGTATTCCAATCATTCCCTCTCTCTCTTCAATTCTATTTTCCTTCTCTTCAAAGTACATATCACCATATAATTTGTCTACTTTTGATTGGTTGCCTCCCACCATTAGACTGTACATTTTTGAAGAGCAAGGGCCCTCTCAGTTTTGTTCAGTGCTATATATCCCAAGAACAGAAAACAGTGGCCAATACATAGTAGTCCCTCAATAAATATTTAATACATGAATAAGTGGGAAAACAACATTTTGTGAAGATGTGACACCGTGTTATTTCAGACATGCTAAAGTTGAGAAGCTTGGAAACATGGGTTAAAAATGGAGACTTAGGATTTACCCACTCAGGTGTGAAAAGTGAAGCTAAACGAAACTGTGGGAGTAGATGAGTTCCTTCAGGTAAAGAGAAAGTGCTAAGAAAGAAGAAAATGGGACTGCATAGAGCAGTGGTTCTCAATCTTCTGGCCCTTTAAATACTTCCTCATGTTGTGGTGACCCTCAACCATAAAATTATTTTCGTTGCTACTTCATAACTGTAATGTTGCTACTGTTATGAATCATAATGTAAATATCTGATATGCAGGATGGTTCGACAGCCAAAGGGGTCGCGACCCACAGGTTGAGAACCGCTGGCATAGAAACTCTCCTAGGACCCTTGATTTTGGGGCGGCGGGGGGCGGAGTATAAAAGAGAATTCAAGTTATGGGGAATAGGCTGTCAAAGACTAAGAAATGAATCCAAAGCAAAAGATGCTCAATTGAGCCCAAAATTCCAAGGAAAACCAGCCAGATGAGGAGCAGGTGGGTTGGTAGGCACTCATAGGTCCCCTCTGAGAAACCAGTTGTGGAGTAGTAGAGCAGAAACCAAGTCTCAATACCTTGACATATGAAAAAGAGAGCAGGATGAAAAGGTGTAGAGTCAAGATTCTCTTTCTGTGTCACCTGAGCTCCAAGAATACCTGAAATATTGGTTAAGTAAATACGCCATAGATGAATAAATGGATACAATTTTCTCTCCACAGTTAAGATGGCACATACATTTTGGCTGAGGTCCTGGGGTTCAGATGGTGAACAACACACTCTTTTCCATTGCACAGGTAATGTAAAAATAGTTCCCTAATCAAAATCAACTTACTGAGCAGTCTTTGCCTCAGCAGTTTATTTTTGTAACTCCTTTTTAATGAGCTCCTATGACTTTCATTTTTACTTTTGCTTTGTGTTTTAGTTTAAAATGCATTCTTAGTTAAGGGAGCTTTTAGAGAGCTGCCTTGAGGCCCTCATCTCTGCGTCAGTAGGAACTGACTCTTGTGTTCTTTGGGATTGAGGGCCTCTCTGCTGTGCTCCAGTGACTTAGCTTCCCAAGGTATGCCAGAGGGATCGCTGATGCATAAAGGAGTAGGTTCTAAAATAAACTAATGAAAGGCCTAGTTAGGGAGGTAACATGATAATCTATGGGCTATGAGAATCCACTCAGCTTTCCACCAGAAGAGCCACCCAATAGTGTATGAATAAGTATATTTCTAGTGGGGTTTTAAATGTAAAGTTATGATTAAATTTCTTGCTTTTCTGAACACACAGCAGAGGGTATCAGCATTGCCTAGAGCAGTGGTTCTCCGGAATGAGGCCCAGAAATCAGGATTTTAAAAAAGATTCCCAGGTGATTCTATTGTGCAGCCAAGGTTGAGAACCACTGGCCTAGAGGGTTTCTTAAAACAGATTTCTGGGCCACACACTGCCTCATTTCTGACCCAGTAGTCTGGGGTGGGGCCAGATTTTTTTTGCATTTCTAACAATTTCTCAAGTGATCTGGATGCTGCTGGATACACTTACAAAGCCCACTGGTCTATGCAATCCATGCCATATATTTTTAATAACTTGTCCCCATAGTTTTCTGTTGTCCTTCACAGAAAAAGAGCCAAATTCACATGTCAGTTCTTTTGCTCTGGCTTCTGTCAGTTCCATTTGTGAGGAAAACAAAACAAAACAAAAAATGAACAAAGTGATGCTAGGAATAACCAACCCTGGATTTCTAGCCTTTTACTCATTTTTAGTGGAATGAAGGTTTTATCTTAGTCAATAAGATCTTAGTGCCTCTTAACAAATAAGAGCTTACCTGAATTATACAAAGGTGATACAACTATCTAACACTAAAAAGTGATTCTCTTTCAATTACAAAATTTGTCTCCAGTGAAGTCTCTTAATACTAGAAAAGGAAAATGGTGGTCATAAGATGACAGGGGAAAAAATAAGACTCATTTCCCACACAGATCGTAGTTATTCCATTTATTATTTTGTTTTTAAGTCAAAGAAGAAACAGCACATCTAGAATCTAAATAATGTAGGCAGGCTGTAATGCTTATCTTGAGATGTTTAAAAGGAATTGTTTTTCTTCCTCTGGCTTAATGTATTGACAAAGAGACACAGCATGATATCATAATTAGGTACAATCTGACTCTGTGTGCAGAGCTGACAGGGCAACTCCCCGGAGGCTCTAAATGAGCTTCTCACTGCTCTGCACTTGAGCAACTCCAAACTGGTTAGGGCCACGTAGATTAAAACATTGGTAAGAACAAATTAATGTTCGAAGAGGTACCAGCTTTAGATTTTTGCTTATCTTCCAGTTCTAAAAAGTAAAGATTAGAAATAAAATTAAGGCATTGCTCAACAAATAGTTTTGAATAAAATAAATATTAGCTTTTTTCAGAGATTTCATAACATTGATTTCTAAAGGACACACTCTTCTATTTATGCTTCATCTGCTATTTCTCCCACACAAATAAACTTTACTAGCTAATAAAGGCAAACTCAATATTAAACAAAATTCAAATGATAAAAAACTATCTATGCTTTTATCAAACATATTATATTGTCCAGCTATAATGTGTTTGGGATGAAATACATTGAAAAAAACACAGGGAGGTGGCCAAAACGGGGAGACAAAGCAACATGGTCCAAATGAAAGAAAAGAATAATACTCCAGAAAAATAACTAAACAAGGTGGAGACAAGCAATCTACTAGATGCAGAGTTCAAATCACCGGTTATAAGGATATCAAGAAACTTAGCGAGGACCTCAACAGCATAAAAAATAACACAGTAAGAAATGAAGGATTTATAAGGAATCTATTGGGGTGACATAGGTTAGAATTATATAGGTTTCAGGTGTACACTTCTATAATACATCATCTGTATATTGCATTGTGTCTTCACCACCCCAAGTCAAATCTCCTTCCATCATCATTTACCTCCCTCTACCCTCTCCTACCTCCCCCCAGTCCCCTTGCCCTCTGATTAACACCATATATTTTAATGTTCTTAAGATAGTAGATCTTAAGTGCTCTTACCACAAAAAATGAAATAATGTAACTATGTGATGGAATGGAGGTGGTAGCAAATACTATTGGTGGCAATGATATTGCAATTTTTTGCAATGTATTTAATCACATCTTGTACACTTGAACATAATGTTATATATCAATTACATCTCAATAAAGACAGGAAAAAACATTATACTATCATAGAAATAAATTCTTATATACAAATCTAGTTAGTATTGGATGATTTAGATATGAACAAAGAATAAGAGGAGGTCTCATGCTCATATTCACACAAAAAAACACCATTTACCTTTGACGGAGAAACAAATTCAACACATTCTATCCACATGCCAAAAAACGATTTTCCACATATTGCACATTTTCTTCCCTTAGAGATTATGTCCCAAATCTCTGGGTACCATTCTATGGCTTCCATTAGGAAAGGATTCCTTTCTGTCAGCTCATTCATTATAAATCTTGATGTTATTTCCTAGATTTAAAAAAATATTATTCCTCAAGATAATTTTCAAAATAACCATTCTTTATTATTCCTCACAGTGTCCGTTAAATTAATTTTTCAAAGTGTATATAAAAAGTATATTGTCAACAATTGGCATTATAAATAAGTTTAGTTTTCAACAATATAAGAAAAGCAACTTACTCCTATTTTAATATTTCCATATTTTCATATACAGGAATCCAAGTTATAATAAACTTACATTATTAGATAAAGTTTAGTTTAAATTTTGTACCTCTTATTACAGTAAACAGGACTGTACAAATATTCAGACTGACTGAGTCTATCCTATTTACTAGTGTCTAAATTCTTACCACTAAAATTGTAGATCATGAACCAATAGAATTTGCATCATCTGGAAGCATATTGAAAATTCACTCTCAGGTGCACTCCAGACTTACTGAATCAGAATCTGCAATTAACAAGTTTCCTGAGATAATCTCTTTGCATGTTAGAGTTTGAGAAGCATTAGTTTAAGTTACCTACTGCATTGAGTACCTAGGTAGAGCCATATTGGTAAAGAATACTTATTTCTATTAACCAAACCTCTGAATTTACTCTGTATTAAACCTATCCACACAGGTATGTTCAGAAACTTCATTTATGGTAATAATATTATTAGGACATCTATCTATATATAAAAGCCTAAGCGATCCAATGACTGAATGATCAGTCAACCAGTCGCTATGACATGCACTGACTACCAGGGGGCAGGAGCTGCTGAGTGACAGCAACTTTGAAGAATGCCCTCTCGCACTCCAGGACCCCTCGGGGGATGTCAGACTGCCAGTTTCGGCCCGATCTCCACAGGCTAGGCTGAGGGACCCCACCTGCCAGAAGGACCCCGCTCACTTCGCAGACAACCTTCGAGCCCCGGCACCACCCCAGGTGTGGCCAGCCAGGGAGGGACAGCAGGAGGCATGTCCGGGGCATCTCACCCAGTCCTGCCCCGCCAGCCACCTTCTAATTAATTTCCTTTCAATGTCCACGAATCCATGCACTGGGCTTCTAGTTAAATAATAAAAGGGGTGGGGTGGAAATATGTAGAAGCTGACTTTCATCATGACAATCAACATCATCTTAAAGTAAAAAATTAAAAAAAATATATATATATATATAAGACTTAAAATTAAATCTTTACTGGCCAAGCAACAACAAAAAAATATATTTGATTTACTCCACCAAGTGTCCCCACCTCCCCAGTGTCTGTGCCGGTAGCCCGGAAGTCCTATATAAATGTTACACAAACATTGCATGAATTTGAATTAGTTTGTGAAACTTTTTTTTTCTGGTCAAAGTGAAAGATTTTTCAGTAGTATTAAAGTAGTCCATATTAGGCTCTGAAATGAATCTTTGCGAATACCTACATAGATGCAGATGTAGGTATATAGATATAGATATAATCTGTCACTCATTCACCCAAATTAAAGTATTTCTAAAATAACAACAAAATGTTATAGATTGCTGTCTCCCTGTTCCTTATGACGCTGTCCCTTCCACTTCACAGGCATCTGGGAAAGCTGCCTTTACACAGCTTGGGTTCCTTAAATGCCTGATCCTTCAGCAGCATAACCTCCTACCCACTTAAGCTCATTCTCCTGGGTGGTTACATAACTGAGGTCGTCCTTCCTGAAAAAAAAAAAAAGTACCCTTTCATACTATTATTACCAGGACTGATAAGTTACATGTCTATTACCACCCTTTCTTTACCTCTTTACACAGAGCATAACTTGTGATTCTGAATAAAATGTTGATTTTAGAGGTAAGTTTTAGCTACAATAATTAAAGTCTAAGTCTCACTATGAAGCTTCAGAAAACTAATACAAGATTCACTCCCCAAAATATCAGATGGTAGAAGAACTTGCTGAAATACATGGGACCTATAAATAGGTCACAGTTCACATAGTACACTTTTTCCATTTAAGATTTCTGGAACTAAACATGTGTGTTGCATCCGGTGTGTCTCTTGACAACTCTTAACATTACCCATTACTTATATTCTTCTCCTACTTGCTGCTAATGTATTACTTTGGAAGATATAGAATCAAAATATAAAGTTATTACTTGGAAATGTGAGTATATGTAAAGTATATATACTGGCTATGACAATAGTACCTTTTGGGACATCTCTTACAGGTACATGTGTTACAGGATTCCAGGGCAGGAGGAATAGGGAAACTGAGACAGGGAAGTTAAAACAAGGCCAAAGAGTGTGGGCAGTTTGCAGCCAGCTTGTAACTAACAAACCATTATCTTCCCCAGCCAAGGACACAGCGAAAATGGTTTAAAAACCTCCCTAATGAGAGAATGCAGAAAGGGAGCGGGAAAGGTTTCCATTTTTCTGAATTTAGTCACTCTGGAAATCAGATAGGATGACATTAGATTCTATAAGCAAGACAAAGAGATTATGTCTAGGATTCACACTGCCAATAGACTAGGTGACATTAATCTTGCTGATTTGGCTAGAATGCTTTAAAAGAAAGCTCTTTACAACTTAAATCAGGGCTTCATTTGGAGGCCTGTGTGAATGACTCAGGCTTCACCTGTAGGCTCAGGACGTCCAGCTGCTTGACAGCACCAACAGGCTGCTTCAGGAACAGCGGGTTTCCCTCACAGTAGAATTCCTTCAGCTTCAGATGCTGAAACTTTCAAAACAAAATAAAAACTTCATTTCACAACAAAGTAACAAATTTTACTCCTGAGGCTACATCTTCAAGAAAATTAGATAAAAGTGATTTAGGACTTATAGTCCACATAAGTATTTTAACAGCAGGACATAATCCAGTCACTATGAGGTGCACTGACCACCTCTGGGTCCCTTCCCCTGGCTGGCAGGCTCCCATCGTCCGATGGTGAACAGGGAACTGGGGGTGGGTGGCAGGGGATGAGGGCGGCACCAGGCCAAGGCCCCCGCCCCACCAGTCGCCCCACACATAGAGGGCAACACGTGGCAGGGGCGGGTTCGACGAGCGGGTGGGAACGGCCGACCTCTCGGTCCCTCCCCCTGGCCAGCAGGCTCTGATCGCCCGATGGCGAATGGGGAACCAGGGGTGGGTGGCGGTGGGAGGTGGGGCCGGCTGCTGGCAACTCGGGAAGATGGCCCTGATGGCCGGCCAGGCCTAGGGACCGTACCCATGCACAAATTTCATGCACCAGGCCTCTAGTATGGTAATAAAAGAACTAATAGATTTCTAACACAACTAACTGTAGTTATGACAGTGCTTTTTTTGCTTTTTTTTAAAAGATTTTTATTGACTTTTAGAGAGAGAGAAAGTGAGAGGGAGAGAGAGAAACATGGATGTGATAGCAAAACATCCATCAGCTTCCTCCTACACAGGAATCCCACCCACAAGCCCGGGCATGTGCCCTGACCAGGAATCGAACTGGCAGCCTTTTGGTGCATGGGAGAAAGCCTCAATTGAGCCAATCAATGTCTCTATCTCTATATCCCTCTCCCCTCCTCTAAAAATCAATAAAAATATATTTTAAAAAAATGTATGCTCTTGAAAATAATATTTTCAAAAAGTATGAAGTGGCCTTAGATAGTATATACTAACAAAAAACACTAACCATACAAATATATTAAAATATTTATGATAGCAATCATAGTTCACTTAGTTCCAACAACTTCAGCTGGCACAGAACACAAAGGAAGGACAAAAGGACAATAGGACCAAAATAGGTTTTGAAATTCTAGAACAAAAAAAGGTATTTGAGTCATTTGTATAACTCAAGGTTCCAATAACTACAGGTTCTACTGGTTGTTCATTTTGTTCTAATCCCAGCAGCATAAACAAAAATGTCTTTCCATTATAATAGAACTCGACTCTACTTACTCCTGTTGGAAATATCTGAATGACATTTCCAGCTATGTCTAGGATTCTTAGGTTTGTAAGACGACACAATACCTGTTTAAAAAAACAACAGAGAGATTTTTTAAGAATCTGTACGATACATAGAATCATAAATATTTCTTCTAAGTTCGAACTTGATGGTATTGATCATCTTTCCTAATTACCTGATCAATTCTTTTTTACATCCTCCCCAAAGAAAATCACTGTATCCTGGATTGTCAGATTCTCTGAATTTTTCATTTCCTCTGACCACTCAGGGCAATATAACATGGTGGCCAAGAGAGAGGCTATTTGTAGGTTCAAATCTCACTTCTGACACTTACTATGGGTAAATTTCTTAATCTCTTTGTACTTGAATTTCTCCATTTGTAAAATGGAATTGCTAATGGCAGGCCCTACTTCAGTGATTATTGCATGGATTAAATAAATTACTAAGTGCTTACTAAAGGACCCAATACAACACAGTCGTGTGGCTCAGTGGCTAAGCATCAACCTATGAACCATGTCGGGGCACATGCCCGGTTGCAGGCTAAATCCCCAGTTTTGGGTGTGTGGGAGGGGCCAATTGATGATTATCTCTCATCATTTCTCTCTCTCTCCCACTTCCTCTCTGAAATAAATAAAAATATGTTTTTAAAAGGGCCTAGTACATAGTGAGCAGTAGGTAGACATTACTATCATTACAATGGAAAGGATCTTTGAGAAACGGAAAACAGATGTAATCTTAGAAAGTTGTCTCTAATTGACAATTCTACCACTGGCATATATTTCTTATCTCCCTTTTGCTTAGCACTGTGCTAAATGAACACTTTCCTTATACTGTAAAGAAAAATCTGTTAGAGTCTCTATCTACATGCCTAATGTGACTGGATGGACATATACATTCATACACATGTGAAGATATACACACAATTTATAATGTACCAGAAAATGATTCCTAATTTTTTCATAAACAAAACAAGTATTTTTTGTAAATATTTATTGTTAGGTTTGATCAAGCTAACTGGTTTTTCAGGTCATTTCACTATGGACAGTCCCTTTGCTGAGACCACATTTCATTTGTGGTGACCACATTCCACTACCTCCCCCTCCGGGTTTGCATAAAGAAGTCTCCACCCAGAAGAAAGTCCTCCAAAAGCCTCACTGGGTGCTGGAGCCATCCAGGCTCAGCCACCTGGTGTGCGGATGATCATTCGTAATCCCTCACCACTCTGGCCTCGTGCGTTCCTCCTTCGGTGACCGAACAATTATATTTACAAAATAATGATAGACTGAATCATAGTAAATGTACAAGGACATAAATGATCATAGACATTTTTTATATAATAATTCAGGATAGGACTTCCTAGCATTTCAATTCTTTAAAATCTAAACTCCTTGGGATTTATAAAATTACTAAAGGCCGGGTGCACAAAAATTTGTGCACTCGGGGAGGTCCCTCCGCCCAGCCTGTGCCCTCTCACAGTCTGGGACTCCTCAGGGGATGTCCACCTGCTGGCTTAGGCCCGCTACCCGGGGGATCGGGCCTAAGCTGGCAGTAAGACATCCCTCTGGCAGCCCGGCAGCCCTTGGGGGATGTCCACTTGCTAGCGGGGAGCAGGCCTAAGCTGCAGTCGGACATCCTTAGCACTGCTGAGGAGGCGGGAGAGGCTCCCGCCACCACAGCTGTGCTGGCAGCCATCAGCCTGGCTTGTGGCTGAGCAGAGCTCCCCCGTGGGAGCGCACTGACCACCAGGGGGAAGCTCCTGCATTGAGCATCTGCCCCCTGGTGGTCAGTGTGTGTCATAGTGACCAGTCATTCCCAGAGGTTCTGCTGTTAGGGTCAATTTTCGTATTACCCTTTTTATTATATAGGATAGAAAGAGGACTTTTAAGTTAGAGAGACATGGATTTGAGTTTCTTCTCTGATCTTTGCAAGTTGTGTTCAAGTCACATAATCTCTTTTCCTTATTCTAAATTGGATATAATAAAAAGAGCTACACCATAAAGTGTTATAAACACTAAATAATATAATGCTTCAGCATGATGATTATATTGCTGCTGTTAAAGCTTTTCCCTCAAAAAAAATGAGTTATACTTTTAATAGATTTATTTTGTAATTTAAAGATATTTTTACTTGTTCATAGAAATTAGGATTTTTAAAGAATTTAAGAATAGAATTTTTAAAAAATATTCTTATTTGTAGCCTATAACTTGGTATGTTTTCACATATTACATTATACTGTGCACAGAATTTTTAAAGAGAATATTCCCTTGAAAGAAAAATGAAGGCAGGATTTGACCTGCTTTTGTTATCTCTCAATTTACTGCATGACATGCATTCCCTCCTACCAAGTTAATTTTAATTTGCATAAGAAGGAAAGGTAAACCCATGGACAGGTTCCTAGCAGGAAACAGTACTCTCAAAGTGAGAAATCTGAGGTGAGTTGAGTAAAGTCACTATTTATAAAAGTTTGACAGGATTTAGAAAAACCTAAACTACAAAATGTAGTTCCCTAAAACCTCAAAGTTCCCCAAAGCTGGAAAACAGCAGGAATTTATTTTACCAACATAGGCCTAAGGAGCCAAGGGGAGATAGTAATGGCCCATATGAGAATCACATGACATTAGCTATAGCTTTCCAAAAAGGTGTGCAGGAAACTCATAGCACCCCATCAGACAGGGTACCAGGGGAACACCATCTGATATTCATTCTCCTATCCTTTCACCTCCTGCTAGTGCCTCTAATTGGCCATGTCCAAGAGGAAGCCAGAGGATGTAGGAGCTGATACTGGTGATTCTCCCAGATGCAGAGTAGGTTGAAAAAGGACAAAGTGTGGATATGAAGAAAAAAATGAAAGTTGTCTAGCACATATTCAAAAACCACATGTACTTATATTTTGTGCAGCATATAGGGTTGCCAGATAAAACATAGAAGCTTCACTTAAATTTGAAACAAACAATGAATTTTTTTCATATAGTTATGTCCCATGCAGGATTTGGAACATACACTAAAAATTATTCATTGCTTACCTGAAATTCAAATTTAAGTTAGTATCGTATATTTGTATTTACTAACCTGGCATCCTTAACTATGTGAAATAAAACAAGTTACAACCATCCTTTGTCACAGGAATTTGGGAGCTGACTCCATCTAATCACAAGGAAAGCAAATGATGGTGTGCACTCAGCTACCCATGTCCATTCTACAATCCCCCTGAATCGTGTTGTAAGGAGACTTCTTCCCCAACCAAAGAAAATTTTGTCCCATGCTTTGCTTACCCCTGGCAAAACTTCAATGTTGTTTCTGGCCAGAAGAAGTTTCTGGAGCCTCTTCAAGAACTTAATCTCTTCAGGTATGCAAATGATCTGATTGTAGTTAAGTTGAAGTTCAGAAAGATTCTTAAGAAAACAAAGTTCTCTAGGAATACTGGTTAGCTGGTTATGATTTATACTCAAATATATAAGGCTTTCTAATCTGAAAATTAAACAAAGTATATGAATGAAACACAGAAAAGGAAAGTCTATTGCACAGACACTGCTTGTCAAAAGCCATGTGTCAATTAATCTTGTAGCTCATCTGAGCTTTATTTCAGTCAAATGTTCACAACTACTGTGAATAATTGGAGCATAAAAAATCTTGGTTGTAATCAAACTTTTGAAAATAATTTATATTCAGATAGCTTACATTAAAAGTAGTTTATGTAATCAAATCCTAAATTTTTTAAAAATGTATTTTTATTGATTTTTACAGAGAGGAAGGGAGAGTGATAGAGAGTTAGGAACATTGATCAGAGAGAAACACTGATCAACTGCCCCCTGAACGCCCCCTATTGGGGAACAACCCTGCAACTGGAATCGAACCTGGGACCCTTCAGTCTGTGGGCTGATGCACTATCCACTAAGCCAAACCAATCAGGGCAAAACCTAGATTTTAAAGAAAGAAAATTCTATTTTCATTCTGTGTACATACACATTCACTATATTAAAGAGAAAGCCAAAAACAAAGGAGGACATATACATGCAGAAATATACATATACATATAAACACCTACATGGATATAGGTATTGGTAGAGGTATAGTTACAGATTATAGATCTTGTGCCAAAAATTTGTGAGAACCACTTAGTTCCTGTGGAAGATGCAAAGATGGGTCAAACACAGACTCCTTATTTATATATCATGGCCTAGAAGGAAATATTACCTAGAGCCATAAAATGAGGATAGAAAATGCCATTGGACTGGGAGAAAAATATTAAGAACATTTGAGTCTATGACTACAGATATGATACCTGAGGTATATCATAAGCATTTTTGAAAAACTGACATTTGAACTTGGCATTGAATAATAAAACTTGTAAAATTAGGGCAACAAGAGGACATTGTAAGCTAAGAAAATATCATTTTGAATAAAGAAACAACAACAAAAAAAATTAGCACTACCTTAGCACCAATTACCTGCATGTGCACGTAATCTAATCATCAGTACAACTCTTAAGGCTGGAATTATTCACTTAAAATCAGAAGTAAGAAAAATAAAGGATCAGAGGTAGTAAATACCTTGCCCAAATTTCCCATCCAGTAGATAACAGTTTCAAGATTCAAATGCAGATGCATTTACTAGCAAAGCTAATAATAAAATATATAGTGCTTGCTTTGACAGTACATATGGTAAAACTGAACTCTATAGAGAAGATTAGCATGTGAGTTTCATTCCATCTCTATAGGTAAAAGAATATTTCAAAATTAAAGAGGTGGTCAAGGACCTCGCAGCCTGGTGGCATCATAGGACCTCCGAGTCTCTCCCATGGAAGGCCCAAGGTGGACAGACATCAGAAGGGGTACATCTGGGTGAACAGCAGAGGCAGGGCTGGGAGGGAGGACAGAGATAGGAACCTCCTGCAGCCCAGCCTTCCCTGCAGGCCCAGAGGACACCTCAGCAGTAAAGAGCTGGGCTGCAGCTCCACGGAACAGACTAGACGGGAGAGGAAGAAACAGCAATCTGTCCTGGGTGGCTGGCAACACTGAGAACTGGGCCCAGGGGCAGGGGCAGAGAAATGGTGCAAAAAAATATCAATCCTCTAAAGCCTGCTAGAATTGAACGAGATTCCACAGATGGGAAATTGGCCCACTCCATCTCCCCTGCGGCTCACAGGGCAGCAAGCTGAAGGTAAAAGCACTGAAACTGGGGGGGGGGGGGGGGGGGGGGCGCGGAGATCCAGTCTAAGTAGTTTGTAATTGTTGCTGCTAAGCCCATAAGGTGGAGCAGAACTGGAATTCAGGTACTAGCTGCCCCCACCCAACCATCCCAGTCCCCTGTGGTACATCCTAGTGGAAGCAGCTAAGTCAACCTGGAGTCACTCTGACTACAGGGAGTGTCATACTGAGCACACAGAATATCCATAGCCTCCCCTGCGGATCCATGGGAGGGGTTCCCTGAGTCTGAGATGACAGGGTAGTGGAGGGGATGGCCAGCTACTGGGGAACGAGGAGAGGTCTGCACAGTTTAGGGGTACTGCCCCAAGAGATCTAGGCAACCCCTGCAATAGAGGTAAGAGAAATAAGAACTACTGCTTCAGCGCCACCTACTGGAAAACAAATACCTCTACATTTAATTCTTTTTAAAAGCAGTTTACAATTATGCAAATGCAAGAGCAGAGAATTAACCAATTAAACACAATGAATAACCAAAATAACAAAGGAAATCCAAAAGAAAATCTTAAAACCTCTAGAAAAGAACTTAAAGTCATGGAAATATGTGATTTAAATGTCAGAATATTCAAGACTGCAGTTCTGAAAAGCTCAACAAGATACAAGAGAACTCAGGCAATTCACAAACTCAGAAATAAAATCAGTGAACAAAAAAGACTATTTTACTGAAGAGGTAACAACTATAGAGAAAGAGCCAAACATATACTGTAGCTGAAGAACTCAACAAAAGAGACGGAGAATGAACTAGCGAGCTTAGAACATAAAGCAGACTAAGTGGAGGGAAGAATTTGTAATATCAAAGATAGACATCTAGAAATGAGTCAGATGGAAGAGAAATTTGAGAGTAAAAAAAAGTGAAAGAACTCTATAAGAACTATCAGATTCCATCAGATTCCATCAGAAAGAGTATATATATATATATATATATACACACACACACAAAATATGCAAATTAGGCCAGGACACCGTAACGGGTCATGATCACAGGGGGAGGTTGCGCGTGCAGGTGAGGCCCGAGTGGACATGGACAGGGCCAGGGGGGCTGGCCCACAGCCTCCGTGGCTGAGCACAGGCCTTGAGACGAGATGGCGGGCACACCTCCAACGGAAGCAGCGCAGCTCCCTCCCACCTGGAGGAAGTCCAGGAAACCTCAGGTGGGAGGCAGTGTAGCTGACAGGTAGAAGCAGACCTCAGGGAGCCTTGGTCCAACCACAGATCTGCCCCCATTTCTAAGCTAAACAAAGCAGACCCATTTACACAGATTGGCCCCTCCCACGCACATACAGGTCTAGTAGACACTGACATAAAGAGAGAAAAGAGTGGTAACTACACCTGGGTGGATCAAGGCCAGTTACGTACAATTTTTGACAGCAACCACATCTGAAACCTACCTAAAGGGACCCAGAACCAACACAACCACTAGTGGGTTTCAGAACACACAAGAACTCAACCCAAATAGACACACAAACACCACACTCAAAGGTAGATCAGGGCAGGTTCCAGTCCCTACTGGGAACAACCCCACCTCAGGGGGCAGCCTCTGCACAGCATTTCCTACACAGGGATAGTGGTTTACCTTTATAGACACCTAGCCTGAAGGGCTATGATTGTGCCACTGAGCCCATCAAACCACCTCGAGACAGCAGTTTGCATGCCAGACTCATAGTCAGCTGGCCTGAAGTCAATACCACCCACAAAAGGGCCATAGTAATCAAGACCCAATTACAACAGGAGAGCCTAAACAACCCAAACAAGAAACATTCCTAGAGCACCCTGCACAGGAGATCAAGGAGATTGCAACATTCAGACACCTACTATGTGGAAGGCCACCACACAAAGACTAGGAGCAATGGTGTTCTATGTCATATATAGAAATAAACACAAAGAGACAGCCCAAACGGGGAAACAAAGAAACAGGCCCCAAATGAAAGAGCTTTTCCCAAATTCACTACTAAGTCAATCTTTTGTGTCGAAAAAGAAATGAATGAGAGAAACAGAAAGAACAAAAATAATAACCAATTAAAGTAAAAGCTAATATCTATTAAGTACTTATTATATCACAGGTTCAACCCTAAATGTCTTTGATGGATTAGCTTATTTAACCATCAAAACAATCCTGTCCTGTGAGCATGGAACAAATTGACATACCTTTATGTGGACTTGGGGGGACAAGAAGAGATAAATCAAGGAACTTATCCTATATAGTAAAAGGCTAATATGCAAATTATCCCATCGACCAGGAGTTCGACCAGGGGATGGGGCCAACCAGCCAACCACCTATGGACCCTCCCTCCAGCCAGCCCTGCCCCTGATTGGCTCCCCACCCCGATCCGAGGCAGGGCCGGCCCTATTGGCCCCAATCAGGGCAGGCCGGCTGGACTCCACAGATGCATGAATTCGTGCACTGGGCCTCTAATATACTTATATGCATAACCCATGGACACAGGCAATAGGGTAGTGAAGACCTGGGGCGGTGAGTCAGGCCAGGGAGGAAGTGGGGAAAGGAGCGGAAATGGGAGACATCTGTAATATTATCAACAATAAGAAATATATTTAAAAACCCCAACCATGTGAAATAGGCACTATTATTGTCCTCCTTTTGCAAATGAAGACACAAAAGTATAGGAAGGTGAAGAACTTTCACTTTGCCTGGAACCATGCCTGGGGAGGTAACTCTTCAGCTTATACTAAGGCACAACTAGAATACTGATAATCCACAGTCATCTGTAAAACTGTGTAGACCTATCCATTTTCCAATTCTACTTGCTTTCACTTTTCTGACATATCACCATAGGTTTATACGGTTCATTTTAATATTTTTTTTGTACTTTAAACAGAGCTTACAAAATTGTGAAATCATAACATGTTACAGCTGCAAAGATTTTGGAATTCACATACTCAGATTTTTTACTTTAGAGATGAGAAAGCTAAGATGTAAGACAGCTAAAGTACATGCCTCAAGTCATCAAGCTGGTTGCACAAATATATGAACCTGAAACTAGTTCTCCAGATCTTCCAAGTGTCCTTTTTTCATTCAATCAATACATCAATCAATTGAATAAGTGAAGAAGCAAGCAGACAAATACTGGCATTTTCATTGCTATAGATATTCCTCTTCTTAAAAAATTAAATTGCTTCAAAAATTTTTTCTAGTTGCTCTGACTCAAAACATTACTTTCTCTGCAAAAAAAATTTACCTGGGAAATAATACATTTGCTAGAAGTATTGGCAAGTGAATTAGAATAGACTTTTATGATACCTTTTCTATCAATCTGAAAATGATTTACAATACTCACATGAAATAAAATTTACCATCACCAGTTCTGTAGTGGAGCAACCTCTAAGAACTAGAGTTGGGAGGTTAATAACACTTTAGAAATGTATGTTTCAAACCCCCACTCTTACACTTAGACTACTAAGCCATGCTGTTTCCCATTTTTCTGCAGTGTTTAAGGAATCATCTGCTTAAAAATGGTGGCTTGTCTCGTTCTTCAGATGCCCCCTTTGCTATGTACAAATCCCACATGGGCTTGAAGCTCAGCATAAGGTTTTCAGAGGGCCCTGGTGGGTTGCGGGGGGAGGGGGGGGTAATGGGGTAGGGAGTTAACTAAATGTTGCTATCAACAAAATTACCTGCTGACTTCTTCAGGAATATATGTGAGCTGATTGTTGTTCAGATTAAGTAGGATCAAATTTTTCAAGCCATCTGTTAGAAAATAATTTTAGACACTTTAGTTATATATATATGTTAGCTATAATTCTTAGCCATTTTTCTGTACAACTTGATTTTCCTTCTGATTTCTTGTCTTGCCCATGGCTCTTGGGTTGCTAATAACAGATAACTTCTTAAACTCGCTTCAAAAACAAAAAAGGTGAATTTATCACAAAGTTTCACTATGCTAAATCATGGTGCCCGAGGACAGAAGTTATAGCCTAGTTAACCGAACTCAAACCAGAAAGGCACTACAAAAGGCACTGGAACACATAAATATTTGTGGAGGGAATGAATGAAGTCCAAGGATTCTTCTTTACGGATGACATTCATCTACCCAACAAAACACCCCGTGGGAAATAAGTCAAACACTCCATGCCCCCTGCATCTGTGAATCCCACACTCAGCTCTGACAGGCCCAGCAAGTGTGCCCACCCAAGCAAATCAACACAGGCACACATAACACCATCTCTCGGCACTGTGCACACCTGTTCCTTTGGGGGGCTCACCTCTCCTGCCCATGGTTCTGTGCCCTGTGCCCCACTTACAAAATTGTGAAATCATAACATGTTACAGCTGCGAAGATTTTGGAATTCACATACTCAGATTTACACAGTGCCTCTGTGAGATTGTCCATGATGAGTTTCTTCAGAGCTGAGCAGGTTGGACTCCCATTCAGCCAGCTCCTAGCAATTGCTGTCATGTGGCAATGTGATTCCAGTCTTGCCTAATCTTTCTTTTTCAAAACAGACAGAAAGGTCCAGAAATCCAGCCTTTATGTGAATTCTCTTGATCTGCAAATCTTGGCACTAAATTCAAACTTATATGTAATACTTTCAATAATACAGCTAAATTTAAACAAATAAATGCATTGGAGTAGAGAGAGAGAGAGAGAGAGAGAGAGAGAGAAGAAAAACACAGACAAAACAGAACCAACCTATTTGTGACCCAGATTCAGCTCATGAGCCACCCATTTACAACCAGTATCTTATGATTACTTAAGCCAATTAAATTGTTTTAGATTTTATCACAATCCCCAGCAAAGAGTGTATGACTGACCCAGCTTAGGACACACATGTAACCCTGGTCCAGTCTGCTCTGGTCAGGGGACAGGGTCATGTAATACATGCTGAACAATGTAGTTGGATAATCATGATCTGATACAGACCATAATTTTGTTAATCACATAGGATTTTCAAAGTTCAACAGCCCCAAAATTAAGACATACAGGAACTAAAGACATTTAGGGCAGTGTACACAGATTACATATATTTTGCAAACCTCATTTAAAGGCAACATGAGAAGAAAAATTTCCTTACAGAAATCTAAATTAGCATTAAATTGTTTAATATTATATATATCAGATTTTACTTAAATTTATTTCCTCAGTATAGCTAATAAAATATTGTCTACTTGTTTCCATTCCCTGAATTTTTTCTTATGTAAACTGTTTTCTTCCTAAGTAAACTGTTAATAGAATGCTGAATATGTGGTTTTGTATATATAAAGTGCATAAACATTGATAAGTATTTGTCACAGTTTTTTTTAACCTTCACCTGAGGATATGTTTTTATTGATTTGAGAAAGAGAGAGAGAGAGAGAGAGAGAGAGAGATGGAGAGAGAGAAAGAGAAACATCGATGTGAGAGAGAGACATAGATTAGATCAGTTGCCTCCCTTACGTGCCATAACAGAGGCTGGGGATTTAACCTGCAACCCAGGTACATGCCTTTGACTGGGAATTGAACCTGACACCCATTGATGCATGCCGGGGGTCTTGTTCCAGCATCTAGAAGGGTTCAGCAATCTGGAGAAGGCTGTGCATAGATAAAATAGTAGTCCAGAGACGAAAAATAATTTTGAAAGGCATTTGGGGGTCAGAGGAGCCTAGTTTAAAGGAAACTAAGATCTCAGATCTCCTCGTCTCAGGACCCCATGCTTTTTATTAACACAATTTGTCCTGAGGCAAGGCAGAGATATACACTTCAAAGGGTCAGGGTTTCATATACAGAGACGTTGTCAGATTGGAAGAATTAGCCTACGGCTGTTCAGGTGTTTGACCAGTAGGAGGCAATAACATGTAGATTAAGATGCCCTTTGCTGTCTGGCAGCAAGCAATCAACTTAATGTATCCTATTCAGGTTTGGGGAATGACACCAGCCATTCCCAGATTCAGCCCTGCTGAACATGCTGGAATTGGTTTCTGGCAGGTGCACAGGCCAACACTCTAACCCCTGAGCCACACCTGCCAGGGCTAAACCTATTATCTTGATCAAAGACTGTGACTTAGTATCTGAGACAAAATAAAAAGTATAAAGGAAAAGGATAGCTGTGGAAAGCTTTCCTTGTTTTGATTTTCCACTAGTTTTCACTCTGGCACAAAGAAAGGGCCCATAGATTCAAGAGTATAAACAGACATGAAAATTCACTACACTAATGCTTGCTTATTTTCTTAGGTCTACATCTAAAGAAATATACTACAATAGCTGGAAAAAAAGTCCCCAGAATTTCATAATTTCAAGAGTAGCATGTAAATATCTTCCCCCAAAAGCAAAACATGTAAAGTTCCTTTTTCATCTAAATTGTTAAGTATAAGGGGAGTCAGTTCTAAATTGTTAAATATAAGGGGATTAATTTTGAGACTATAATACTGCTTTTCTTTGACTAACTTACCACATGCTCCAGAAGCAAATCTATTAATTCTATTTCCAAATAAATGGAGATTCTTCAGGGATGTGAGGTATTTCACCTCTTCTGGAACTTCTTCTAAAAGGTTGTTTCCCAGATTTAGTACTGTCAACTGCAAACATATAGAGATTTAATGGACTCAGACATTATCTACCTTCAAATGAGAAAAAAGAAATAATTAAGTCCCTTTGCTGAGATGGACATAACCTATGAAAACTTCAGCATGATCACAAACAATCCTTTTACACATATCTAAAATAATTTTTATAAAGTTCATTTTAGTTCGTGTTCACTTTATACTAATTAAAGCACACTTTAATTTTCAATTAAAGCACTTTAATAAAATTGTATCGCAAACCATTCCAAGGGTATTTAAAAATGCAATTAATGGTTCATTTATAACTCACTTGAACAGCTCGAGAATACCCTAGCATTGTGACCTCTAGACTCAAAACCATTAAAAGAAACCAACAAAGGAGCTAATTTCCTGAAGTCAGAAATATTGCCAAAGATCTGAGGTTCTCCTGTCATACGACTCCCAAATGAAGCATTAAATTCAGGTGGAGCAAGAGGTGAGCACAAGGATAACAGGCATGACTGCAGTGGGCCAGGCGGGCGATGAGGATGGCGTGGGCGACATCTTTGCCTAGATCCTTTTCCTGCTCTGCTCTACTCTGCTTCCTTCACCCCCTTATGGGTTTCTCCTGAGAGTGCAGCCTCAATTAATTACAAAAATCTATGACTCAGGCTCTCAGAGATATATAGTGTCACAGAAGCCAAGAGAAAAGAAAAGGCAGCTATTTTAAGAAGGTAACTGTGGATCAAATCCTAGAGAAAAGTTAAGTAAAATAAAAACAAAGAAATAACCACTGGAATTAGCAATGTGAACAGCAATAGTGACCTTGACAACAGGAGTGAAGTGTTGGAAAGGAAACTCTGTTTGAGGTGTGCTGTCAAAAAAATGTGAGAAAGCAAAGACAATTATTTGAAGAACTTTTGCTATAAAAGGGCACTGGAAAATTAGGAGGCAGCTGGAGGGTTTGTTTTTTCCCTAAAATAACATACATTTCACTTTATGATATGCTGATGGACATAAACCTGTAGAGAATGAGTAACTACTAATACAAGGAGAGGGATAATTGCAGAAATCAAAATCCTTTAGATTTTAAGAGGATAGGATCCAAGTTGCAAGTAGGACCTTTTCATCCAGGGAGTAAGAAGGAAGGTAGAGGAAAGTGTGTGCAGATCAGAACACTGGACCGATTTGGTGATGGAAAGATGAGGGAGCTCCTGATAGTGTCCGTTTTTCAATGAAATGTGAACCAAAGTCTGCTGAGAGGAGGAGATGTAAGAAGTTTGATGAAATGTAATTTTGAAGATCAATCTTGGGAAATATACTAGGATAGCTGACAGTCAACAGTTAGCTCTCAAGATGATATAAAGTTTGGGGGACAGGAGGGAGGGGAGTAAGAGATCAACCGAAGGACTTGTATGCATCCATATAACCATAACTAATGGACATAAGACACTGGGGGGTAAGGGAGGGCAGGGGCTTGTCAAGGGTGGGGGGGAAAAAAGGACACTTATGTAATACCCTTTGTAATACTTTTAGCGGAAAAAAAAAAAAGATGATATAAAGTAGATAGATAACCCAAGAAAAGGCACTTATCTGGGTGACACATCCTATATAAGAAAAGGCTAATATGCAAATCAACTGAATGATGAAACAACCAGTTGCTATGATGCACACTGACCACTAGGGGGAAGACACTCAATGCAGCATCTGCCCCTGGTGGTCAGTGCGCTCCCATAAAGGGAGCACTGCTCAGCCAGAAGCTGGGCTCACGGCTGGCGAGTGCAGTGGCGATGGTGGGAGCCTCTCCAGCCTTCTCAGTAGCGCTAAGGATGTCCGACTGCTGGCTTAGGCCTGCTCCCCACAGGAAGCGGGCCTAAGCTGACAGTCGGACATCCCCCGAGGGCTCCCAGACTGCGAGAGGGTGCAGGCCGGACTGAGGGACCCCTCCCCCTTCCTGCCCCGAGTGCACGAATTTACACGAGTTAACTATATGGCTTTGGCTAGAAAAGGCTACCATGTGAAATTCTGAGCACCACCACCAAGAATATGATATTAGATGATGAACAGGGTTCAACTGATAACCTCAACATTTAAAAGATTTCAAAGTTAAAACTAAGATGAAGTCCATGGAACTGGGATGATTCTTGATGGAATAAGATCACTAAAAAAAAAGATTTATTGATGACCTTCAAAGTCCTAAAAGTATCTGAAAGATCAGGTGGTTATCCTCTGTCACCGTGGCAAATAAGTCAGAGCTCCAGCATAGATTACATAAACTATACAGAAAGGTCCAGAGACACCTTAGCAAAAAAATGAGTTGCCTTTGAGAAATACCTCAAGACCCAATCTAAATGTTCCATTACTTTAATCGTATTTGTTATATGTGTACTATGTACCTTGTACTATTCTCTATACTACAGTAAAAAAGACACGTATGATTCCCTCTCTCATAGTGCTTATACATTGGGAAATAAGACAGACAACAAGTAAGTAGACAAATAATTTCTGTTACTGCTAAGTGCTACGTAAAAGGGAAAGAAAATAGGATAATGGCATGGAAAGTAACTCAGGCTGTCATTAGGGAAGACCTCTCTGAGGAGGTGATGTTTGCAGGAAGGCAGTGGGATGCCTTGGCAAGGCTACTCTAAATGATGTTTTACTCACAAGGCTTTCAGAAATAGCAAGCATCCAGAACGAGCACGACAGTATTGCATTAGTAACACTCTCTATGGTTATGGGCAGTCCCCAAGGGAAGATTTTAGTCATATAAGAGACAACTACTGGGGTAAATTTAAAACTTACATTACTTCAATAATTGTATATAGAACGAAGTTCTGCCGGTGTTTTCAGAATGTAACTCTTCTATCCCTTGAATGTGGCATATTGCTATAGATTGAAATACACCATTGCTACTAAATAGTTTCTCATGGACCCGTAATGCAGAGAACAATGAACTTTTAACAGTCATCTAGTGTATCATATAAAATGCAAATGGGCAATTATATATCTTCCTCATGACAAAATAATGGGTAGCTTTTTTATTTTGCTAGAAATTTTTATTTATTTTTCTATATTTAGGCTCTCTGAAACTTCTACCCAATTTTCCCCACAGCAATAATAAAAATATAGCAGTCTTTCAAAATGTTAAAGATTGCTATTATATTTCCCCTAAATGTGTTCCATTCTTCCTTAACCAATTTCCTCAGGACATAATTTGCATACCCCTCACCATCCTGGTCACTCTCTAATTTTTGTAAGAAAACATGGTGCCTTGGCTGAGACAAGGGAATGTGGTCTCAGTATAGATGCTGGTGAGACCACAGAATCTCCCTCAGGCAGATGATTATACTTATATTAATGCCGCCTAACCTGGCATCCACTCTTTGATCAGCAGAGCACATTGCTGGTACATAATTAATTTTGTCTGTGACAACAAAAACTGCTAAGTTAACAGTCAAGATCACTCACATCCAAGACTTACACAGTTATTTTCTTAACTTAAATGCAGTTATCCCTGCAAAAACTGCATCGTGATGGTTTGGGCTCAAAAGACATCTCAAGTGAATGTGATGATGTCACTTTAAATTCAAAGTCTAAAACTGGACACCCCAGCTCTGTTTTTCCCATCTGCACTTTGGTTAACGCACCCATCATTCTTGTAATCCTATGGTAGCCCCACTTTGAAATCACCTAAGACTTCTTTTTCTCCACCTACATTCAATCAGTCAACAAATTCTATTCTCAAAATTTCTTTTATAGATGCAACTTTTCAGCTATATCTCATTGCAATCACTGCCTAATTATAGTATTACATAGCTGAAGAATGCAATAAAATGGGATGTGCTATCATTTAAATTCCCTTTGTTCAATCCTGTTGGATTACATATAAACAGCTGCCCAAATAATCACCTGATGAGGATTTTCTTTACCCAATATTTCCTTAAATATTTTCAACCTCTCTGTAGCCTTTTTGACATCTTTGTATACATGTCCTAAGTAGTGTCTATCCCAACTCTGGCTCACTTGGCCAGAGCATCAACCTGTACACTAAAAAATGGCAGGTTTGATTCCCCATCAGGGCATATGCCCAGTTGAGGATTCAATCCCTGGTTAGGGCACATGCGAGAGGCAACCAATTGAAATTTCTCTCTCACATTAATGTTTCTCTCTCTCTTTAATCAATAAAAAAAGAATGATCATAAATAAACACATACATACACATAATACATTCATACACTAATCATAATAGCAATAATAATTTACTGAAAAGTTTCTATGTGCCAGGCATTGAGCTTTATATATATTAACATTTAATTAAATCCCCAAATATGAAGACAGTTGTTTTTTTTCACACCCGTATCCTCAGAATCAGCATAGACACAAAAAGATTAATTTGTTAAAATAATGGCTATGTAAACAAATAAAAGGTGGGGATAATTCATGTAGTGTTCAAACCTGCCATCTTTAGGCAACACAGTTTTGTTTTTAGGTACTATAAATTGAACATCACACCCTTGTAAATCGCACACTAAGTGTATAGAATAAAATTATAGAGCTGAACGTAACCTCATGTTATAGATGTAGGCCCTGATTGAGTGACCTTGACAAGTGGCTTACTCTATTCCTGAACCATAAGTTTTATTAACAATACGAGGGTAATAACTTTCTTAAAAATGAACAGAGTTCTTAGCATTGTGCCAGCTCTCACTAAATGGTTGATGTTGTTATTCTATTGGATACCACTTTGTGAGTGCAGAAATATAAAAGTATCATTTTTGTTTTAGGAACTTAAAAATATCAAGACAATATGAATGGTGCATTCTATGCAAAATATGGCCAAGATCAGTATATTGGGGCCAACTGGACTTCCTCCAATGACAAAAGAAATATTAGTCCAAAAGGCAAGCATAGAATATATATAAAAAGTGGTAGCAAAATATCATTATTAACAAAGAGTATGGCCTGTAGCAACACAGGCAAGAGTTCAAACTAACATTTCAAGAATCCATTTAGGGATTTTATAGGAAACTAGAGGCCCGATGCACGAAATTCGTGCTCTCGGGGGGAGGGGGGGCCCTCAGCCTGGCCTGCACCCTCTTGCAGTCCGGGAGCCCTCAGGGGATGTCCGACTGACAGCTTAGGCCAGATCCCCACCCCCCCGATCAGACATCCTTAGCATTGTTGCAGAGGCAGGAGAGGCTCAAGGCTTCTGGCTGAGCGGTGCTCCCCTTGTGGGAGCGCACTGACCACCAGGGGACAGCTCCTGCGTTGAGCGTCTGCCCCCTGTTGGTTAGTGCACGTCATACCAACCGGTCGTTCTGCTATTCAGTCGATTTGCATATGAACCTTTTATTATATAGGACTGTTAGAATAAAAATTCTTATATCTTTGAACTATGACATACAAATCACCAAGTTACAAAGACCACAAGGACACTGTGCAACAGAGGTCATTCATCAGTATTTCGGCCAAATGTCACAACATGCCCTGCCCACTTTCTCTGCTTTATTTTTCTCTTTAGCACTAATCACTTTCTCATATCCTATTTGTTTTGTTTGTTTCTTATATCTCATCTGATTAGAACTTAAGGACTTAAGCTCCATGAAGGCAGGGATTTTCATGTTCTGTTTGCTGATGAGTTACTAGTTCCTAGTGCCTGAGACACAAATGGTGCTCAATCTTATGTTTGGATTCATTAAATGAAGGCAGAATTGAGGCCCAAAGAGATTAAGTGTCTTATATTTACCTGTAAGTGGCTAACCCAGTTAAGGTGCCCAAGACTCCAAATTCACATTCAGGGCTCTTTGCAGCTTTCTAAACTTTCTTTCTTTTAAAACACAATGTACTACTTTATTTTATTTTTTATTTTTTGGTTAATCCTCATCCGAGAATATTTTGTCCACTGATTTTTAGAGAGAGTGGAAGGGAAGGGGAGAAACACACACAGAGAGAGAAACAGCAACGTGAGAGACACATTGATTAGTTGCCTAACATAGGAGGATTGAGCCTGCAACTGAAGTATGTGCCCTCAACCAGAATCGAACCTGGGATCCTTCTGTTCACGGTCCGACACTCTATTCACTGAGCCAAACCAGCTAGGGTATAACTTTCTATCTTCTTAACCCCTCGTCTGCTCTTTTATTAGCAAATGTGAAAATGACTGAACAGTATTTCTCAACTGTGTAAATACTAGTAATCTATATTCATCTTTTGAGTGTTTCCAGCAGTTTTTATTCAAGACTAGATGCCCGATGCACGAAACCTGTGCAAGAGTAGGCCCTCGTGGCCCCAGCTGCCTTGCTACCCTGTCCCCCACCTCCTGGTCTTCTGGAAGGTCATTCTGGAAGGTCATTCTGCCATCCAGTCTAATTAGCATACTAGCTCTTTATTATATAGGATGGTTCTAAAACTCCCATTATACAGGAAATTTTTTAAAAATTCCACAACCTTAGAGACTACATATAAGAAAAATTATGAGTTCATGAACAGCTGAACAATGTCATAGCCTTAAGTAGAGAGCTGGCTCAGCTCAGCCCTTAAATAAGAAATCATATTTTACTTTTAAAAATGAATATAACTGATTTGAAACTACTTCAAAAGAAATGAATGTCCCTCCTTCCCATTCCCTGACAACACTCCATTTCAAAGTTCAGCCTGCTGTAGTCAGTCGGTGTGGTTCAATGGTTGAACATCAAACCATGAACCCAGAGGTCCCCGGTTCAATTCCTGGTTAGGGCATATGCCTAGGTTTCAGGCTTGATTCCCAGTGGGGAGTGTGCAGGAGGTAGCCAATGAATGATTCTCTCATCACTGATATTTCTATCTCTCCTCTCTTCCTCTCTAAAATCAATACAAATACTTTATAAAAAATTTCAGCTTGCTGTAGGAAACTAAAAAGGAACCTCCTTCCTATACCCCAAATGTCTCTTCATTCTGTAGGCAAAAGCCTCGAGAGTCCCCAGGATGCACAGCATTTCAGGGATCCTCAAGTGCACTTCCAGATGGAGCCCCCAAGGTAGACAATAAGATCTAGACTCCCAAGCCTTTCCAAAAGACAGCCTCCAGAAAGATGAGTATGGCAGAGACCTAATCCTGAGTCCAGATGTGCTCCAAAGAGAACATGAACAAAATGAAACTACTTCTTCCCCTACCACATAGAATTCCTAAGGGAGAACACCTCCAGGCACCTCTCTAACAAGGATCCACAGGAAGTGTTCAAGAAACCAGATCTCTACATATCAAAGCCTATTGTTCTCTCACCTCTTTGATCCCTAATCCAAAAAGATGGACTCTTCCTCACCTGGGTCAAGGTGCTTAACTCTGAGCACACCTTGGAGACTAGGTTTTTCTGAAGGTTTAGAACCTTCAGGCCAGGCAGGTTTCCTATTGTAGAGGGTATCTTTGTCATCTTCTTCCCATTCAAGGTAATGATCTTAGTGTTTTTACCACCCTTTACTGCTCTGAGGAACAACCTTTCTTCCATGAAGTTGGAGGAGATAGAAAAGGGATAAGGTACACATTAGGGGTCAAGTTCCTTATTTGGTACCTTTACAATCTCTAATTGCAGAATGGTTGTGTCATGGAAACAAAAAACATTCTGAGATCTACCATGCAGAAGGTGGGAGGCATCAGGCAGTTTCCTGAGTAAGAGGTAGGGAGGGGAAATAGCTGATTCCAGGCTTGGGGTAGAAAATGTACAAGATGAGCCGAGGATATCTTATGCCAGAGACATGGAAGTAATTGAAGACTAAGCAGATCCAAGAACATTAGTGCCAACTTATAAGGAACATCACCGGTCTAAAATCAGAAAATTTGAGGATCAGAAAAAATAATCGACAGTGGCCTGGTCCATGAACATGTAAGGATTCATCATGGTAGTTTTAAAAGAAAAGAAACTCACTGATTACAGTGGGGCTCGCTAGGGAACCAATTCCTAAGTCTGAAAATTGATCAAGGAAAAAATGCAGCATTTACCAGGTATCTTGATCTGAAGGCCTATGAACTAAAAAGACAAGTTATCTGTTCCCATATATCCAGAATTTAACAAAGGGTTTTCTAGTCAAGCCCTTGGCTTCACCTTTAGACTTTTATTTGGCAAGCTTATTTTGTGATTAAATTTGCTCTGACTTGCGGTAAACATTTTCAAACATGAGCAGATACTTCATGTATTAGAAATCTGTAGAAATTCTCTCCTGTAATAAAGAAGAATATTGTGTTTTTCTTGGTTTTCTTTTTATATTTGGAAATGGAAGTTTTGATTTAAAGTGCTTTGGATCCTCAAATACCCACCTTCTAGGGGCAGCTTCACCACTTAATAACACTATGGCTTAGTAAGTTATTCATTCTCAACCTCTTTGAGTCTCATTCCCATTAGCTATAAAACAGGAATGACTATACCAACCTCTGCCTTCTGTGAGGAATGAATAAGCTTGCTTATGTAAAGCATTTAGCACACTGCTTAGCACAGTAAATGCTCATTACATAAGAGTAATTATGTTTTCTTTTGTACAACCTCACATAGACATTTAAATTCAGATTGCTGTTTTGTTAACAAATCTCAAGCATGAAAGCATAACTCTATTCTCGGGACTAATACAAGGTGCTAACATATGCCTTCTGTGCCAAAGCCTTGTCTCCCTACAGCCACCTGCATTCTCTATCTTGTTATCAATCACTACTTCATCTGCTTAGATACCTGAGTGCACTCTCAGTATGAGGGGCTAGGTGAGATCTGTCAGAGACGTTCTACAAAGAATTCTCAGTTGGTCGTGAGATTAGAAATACGTTAGGGGTTCACAGACTTTAAAACAGGAAGCAATCTATGAAAAATACAGCTACCAACTCTTACTTTTGGCAAGTAAAAGCACTTAAATTTTCTTATTTTGCCAATGGTTTCAACTTACAGACCAATATTTGATTACGACTAGGTTGGATGAACCTCTGAGATTCTACTTACACATGCACAGATGCATATACATCACACGTAGTTTTTTGAAGCTTCTGCAAAAAGTAAACAAGAAAACAGAATAATTAAATTAAAAATAGAAATAAACAGTGAAAAATAGAACAGTGAGGTAAAGCCAGGTCCAATAAGATAACTAATCATCTACAAAGTCTAATGAAGGATAGAATGAAAGCAAAAGAGAAACAGAAAGGGGAGTGGTAGAAGAAGATGCCAAGCAATACTTTGGCTTGGGAAATGGGCATTCTTGCCCGAGGCATGGAATGGAAGTTAGCAGGCCAGGTAGAAATGGTGGGGAATGAACAGAAAATGCGCATGCCCTGTCTAAAGCCTGCAGTGGTGAATGCTGACAAGACCAAGTCCTGGCCCTGTGGTGCTGACCGTTCTAATTTTTTTTTGAAAAACCAGAAATATGGCTTTTAAGTGAAATCTTCCAGTTCTTAAACACTACCAACTGACTGACCTTTTTTTCTTTAAATCACTTAATGGTCCAAGTAAAATACACCTCTGGGACACACTCAGTCCTCTCATTGGGAAGCTCTGGTGTAGAGTGAGGAAAAGATGATCAAGGGTAACAACTTGAGAAAGTCAGAGGAAGAGGCACAGCCCAGAACAAAGACTAAGACTAAGAAGGAGGAACCAGTAAGGTGTGTTATGAAAAGTCAGAGAATTCCAAGGAGCAGTCTACTGTGAAATGCAGCAGAATAAGATAAGGACAGGTAAGTGGTCACTGGTACTAGTTTTAGAAGCAGATTCATTGGAGTAGTGGAGGCTAAAACACAGGTACTGGTTGAAGAAGATAAATAGTTCAAAACCTCAGGGTTAAATGAATAGCAATGTGTGGAGCTATCCGCCCCTCACATCTGCTGCTGGCACTGAGTTGGTACAGACCAGAAATGCTGTTGGCCATCTTATAATATGCAGACAGCCTCCACAACAAGGAATTACCCAGCTCACAAAGCCAATAGTGTCACTGTGGAGAAACACTCTGAGGTAGGTGTGTAAAGCCTTTCTGATTTGATGGGGGGAGAAATGCCTGTTTTAAAAACAGTAAGTTAAGACAAGGTCGTTATTTTTGCTCATCAAACTCATGCATTCAGGCTCTCATTAATCCCCATGTTGATACTGTATTTGTTGAGATTACAAACATTAATAGGTGTTTCCTTTTGTCAAGACAAGAGTGATAGAAGAAAAATCAGGAGGATTATAAGTCATCCCTGTTTAAAGAATTGATATATTCAGCAATCTTGTAGAAAGGCAGTGAGTTTCAATAAGACATACAGTCATACCAATTATAATGAAATAAGACAACTATAAACTTCATGGTAAGTATATTAACAACCTTTTTAATATATTTTTAGTATGTACACTTATCTTAAAGGACCTTTATATTTAACAGATTCATTAAAATCAAATTGTCCTGACACATGAGGTATAAATTAACCGTCACACACTATCAGAAGTTAAGAAAAAAGAAAGCTCTCTTGACTTCCATTCCACAAGAGACCAGAAGTTTTAAGAATTCACCCAAAGGCAAGGTAAATTAGAAAGCAGCCCTTTTATGAAGAAGCACTATTATAAGTCAGTATCTCTCACTTCTCCTAATAGTCCATTAACCCAATGACAATTCCTTAGTCATAGACTATTCTTTCAACTGATCTTAAGACTGTCAACAAACACTTATTAAGCACTTAATATGTAGGCCAGGCAATGTGCTGAATATTATAATAGTGAGCAAGTTATTTCTAAGCATTTAAAGAGTAGAAGATAACAGCAATAATAAGCAACAATAACAAACTAAATACAATAGCTAATTTCAAGTGAGTAGTCATTAGAAATATGCATTAAGTGGGGTACCTACCCACCTGGGTGGCAGGATTCTGGGTAGCTTGCCAAGGTAGGTGCTATTTAAGCTGAAGACAGGAGGACAGTAAGCTAGATGAAGCAGGCTGGGTGAAATATTCAACTTTGAATGGCAGCTCAAAGGCCTTCAAGTAGGAGGGAAAAACAATGGGGTAAAGGACAAGAACTTTGCTTCCTAAATCTTACCTTGAAAAAAAGTATTAGAAACCCCACGAGTTCTATTATTTCTACAAGATGCAAAGAGACTATTTTAAACAAGACAAAGTAGAAGAATCAACTGTTAAAACATACTTGACAGGAAGAAAAAACACTCTCATTTGTTCAATAAGCAAAAACAGTATAAAATTGCTAATTAAATTCTCAGAAAAAACAACTGATCGGCTCCTTTACCTAGTTCATGACAACTTATACCAAGACAGTATATTAACAAATCTGTGCCAGCATTAATTTGCACAAACTTCCTTCTTACTGCTTCACATTCTTGCACACTAATTATTCGTTTGTCTTTTCAACACCCACCAGTCTGAGAATATTCTAAGTCACTTGCCGGAAGGCCTAAATAAACCTTCATTATTTTAAAATATCCAAAATTCCAACCCGATTTCCAAGAGCCATGCCTTAAATGGCTATTATTTCACTACTTCCCTCATTCTGTTTGGGGCATAATATATTTATTCCAAATCTTTTAAATGCAAGAATATGTTATTGTATTACTTTCAATTATATGTGAGGACAATATACTAGTATAGGCTGGATATAATTCTAAAACAAACTGAGTTTTCTCTATTTCTATAATATAAAGGTGTTAACAAATAACAATTTAAACAAATGTTTATTGAATTCATATTTTATTCTTCTTTTGGCAAACAGATAATATGAACAAAACTATACTGCTCGCTATAGTTATACACACTCTTTCTTGCTTTATACAAGTTGTAAACATATTTAAGTGGATAAAATTCTTGACTTAGCACATTCCAGAATTCTGACATACTTTTTGAGTTAAAGCAAAAGAAAGCTTATGAAACTTCCACTGTATTATCATTACACAGCAAACGAAATTAGTATATCTGCTTTTAAACTAACATCTACCATTTTTTAAATACTTCAATTTTAGGTTAGAGCTAAAATGATTTTTATCTAAAGCAGTGGTTCTCAACCTTCTGGCCCTTTAAATACAGTTCTTCATGTTGTGACCCAACCATAAAATTATTTTCGTTGCTACTTCATAACTGCAATGTTGCTACTGTTATGAATCGTAATGTAAATATCTGATGTGCAGGATGGTCTTAGGCGACCCCTGTGAAAGGGTCGTTTGACCGCCAAAGGGGTCTCGACCCACAGGTTGAGAACCGCTGAAAAGTTTTATGGAAAAAAAATAAACAGAGCTAACCATACAAATGCTGTTCATAACCATAGCAACCATTTAAAGATGACATATTTCAGAGGGGCAGTGGTGGGTAAGAGATTAACCAATGAAGTTATATGCACATATGCATAGCCCATGGACACAGACAACAGTGTGGGGAAGGCCTGGGGAGGGGGCATGAACAGGTTGGAGGGAGACAATGGGGGGAAGGGAGGACATCTGTAATACATTCAATAATGAAGATAAATTTTAAAAAATTATACAAATTAAAAATAAACCTATAATCAAGAAAATGCCACTCATCTTGTTAGGAAAAAAAAGTTACCAATAAGGTATTTTCCAATGCTTTAAATGTAGATGAAATTCATAATAACTAGGTTTCATGATACCTTATTTTATTACTTAATGCTTATCTTTTAATTTTAAAGCAACAAGTTACTTCAAAATAAAGGCAATATGATTAGTATTTTATAATTTCATTATTTTATCAATTTCAGAGCCCCAAGAAAACTCAGATCTCAAAACAGGCAGCCTTCAGAATGTATTTTGCTTGGCAGCAGAATGGCTTTTAATCTCTTGAAATGGAATACCTTCACGTAGTACTTACTTGCTCTAGTTGACCAGCTTCCCACATCATCAATGAGACTGACACCCATTTTTAATATATAAACCTGATATTTAACTGCAAAAATTAGTTGCATTCATAAAGCAAAAATTCAAATATTATAAACTTCATGCTAAATGGTACTAGCTTTTTCTAATTGGGGAAAGATGGATCTAATAAAAAAGTGTAATTTTCATAATACTTTCTTATCAAATTACCAGACACATTTGTATATATGAGTACTATCTTCTTAGAAGGAATACTGTTATGTGTAACTTGAAATCTGAGCTAGATAAATCATTCACACCAAAAGGTATTATATACTGATTTTTACTACACAGTCTGGCTCCTAAAGAGTGGCTTTCAGCTTGATCCATACATGTGATACAAACATTCTCAAATACTTCAGGGTATGGAAAGGGGACATTAAAAGGCTAAGAAAATAACAGTAAAAAGGGCTTTCTTTTAATCCTAGAGAATGAAGCAAAAAGAGAAAGGTTTTGTAAGAGAAATTGGGAAAGAGGAAGGATTTGAAGTATATTTGGCCTTGGACACTTTTGACAGTGCTGCTTCAACTTGTAGAAGTTCATGGGTAAGAGAGGTCACAAATCGTTTCTCAGGAAAAAAGTGCAAGGAAAGCAAAGCAGCTGAGCAGTGAAGGAGAAAACACCACAAAGAGTACAAACATTTGTAGTTATGAAAATAAGAAGTTTAAGAAACAGCAAGTAGTAACAAATTAATCAGACATTAGTATGTTGGGACCTTTAAAATGACACAAAAATAAAAGGCTAATCTATAATTCTTTACAGGTTTACATCTGATAGGGAACACCTATATATTTTGAATCTGTCTCATTTCTTAAAGTTTTAACAACTGATTCCCATCTGAGAAAAAACATTTTAAAATTCTTAATCATTAAAACAAGCTTCTTGGCTGCACTTTGATGGGGTAATAAAAAAGCTTCACAGCATTAATTTCACTAATACCAAGGTTACTGCAATCAAGTTTCTTTATAAGGATAAATTAAATTTGCTGTCACCATCCCCACAGTATTGCAATCTTCAAGAAAAATTACACTGAAATGGTTACTGAAAGCTTTTAATAAAACATTAAGATTTATTTCAACAGAATGTTCAGGATCCCATATTAATAAAAAATATAAGCAAATAGGGTTGCATCTCGGCCTATGAATGATGCTCTCCACAATGGACGTACAAGTGTTTAAAATACCAGTAAGGGGATACTGGTTAAAGTTTATCTCTGACATTTTTTTTAAAAACCTATTAGCAGCTATGCCATAAAACTGATTTAAAGTAGTTGTTTTTTCAGTAACATTTAAAACAATCCAGCACTTGGTATAAATACTCAAATCCGCACACTGTACAAAAACATAATTGTGCAACACTCTGTAAACTAGCTGCAGTTTTCAGTAACTCTGTTCACCAACCACGTGACAGAATTGTAATGTTCTCCTAAGCCATATGCGTGTCTCATATATCTGAAAGAAAAAGAAAAAGAAATGACTGGTTTTGATGAAGGTAATTCTTTGTATATAAATGTTTATTATGCATATAACACCAAGCCCTCTGAATGAATCACTCCACAGATGTATCATTCAATAAACTGCATAAGCATATTACTTAAAAAGTTCAACAGCATGTGAAAAGCATAAGATCTTTAACCACGTCTGCTGAGTTTAAGTCCAATAAAACACAATCATTAGGGGGGGGGGGGGAAAGATTGAAATTCTGAGTACTCAATAAGCTTAAAATTTTTACCTAAATCCAAACCATTAATGACCACCTTAGTAGGTTTATCTAATAAACACTAAAGCTGATAGCAAACTCTCCATGCTGTGTTTCAGGAGACTTCTCAGTCATGTAAAAATACTTTTACAATATGAAGAAAAAGATATCTAAAGAATAAACAATCAGGCAACGTGAATATATTTGTTTTTTCACTTGTTAAAACTTTTAGCATTATTAATGTCAACTCAGAACAATATTCAAACTAATCCTAAAACTTTCTAACCTTTAGAAATGATTTTATTAACTCATATGCAAAAATAAATCACTATAGATTTAAATAATTATCTAAATCTCACATTTTGGCAATGCCTTTTAATTCTACAATTGCCTTTAACATAAATAAGCTTATTAAATTCTGCTGAGCAGAGGTGTTTTTTTAATTAATCAACAACAACCTAAAATATTTCAATAATCCTTTTTGTCTTAATTATGAAAAATAAAACAGTAGACATTTCTAGATACTTACACAAGTATTAGTGGTTTGTTTGGATATTCTTCGCCAACTACAATAGGAGGAGAATCTGCCTGTATTATCTCTATTGGTGTTTGTAAAATATGAGACAGGGCTCTTAGCTATAGGAAAGAAAATGTATTAGTATAAAAATAAATAAAAGTATAAATATTGAAATCATAAACTACTGAGGTATTCATGCACAGGGCAATCATTCAGAGCAGGGATTCTCTCTGTTTATCACTATACACTAAGAACCTGTCACACAGTAGGCACTTATATACATATTTGTTAAATTAACAAATATAATATTTATTAAATCGAATGCGAAAGCTTCAAGCCCTGGCTACATGATAGTTTCTTAGAAAGATCAATGTCATAGTAAATAAAGTGAAGGAATGGGTAGATTGGGCTCATTATATAGACTCTCTACTTTTGAAAATGTCCATAATAAAAAGTTTTTAAAAAAATCATTGTTAGAGCACCAGGCCAAATCAATTACAATTTTGGAGGGAAAGGGGGAAAAAGAGGGAACAGCACAGAATAGGAGGTTTATTTTTCTTAAAGCTTTTCAGATGATTGTAATGTACAACTAGGGTTACAGCCTCTGCTCTATAATTTTCAAGGTGCAAATAGAATGAGATATGTATCTGAACTGCACTACTGTTTCATGGAATTTCCATCCATTTAATACACAAGTTTAAGTAATTTTATACCACAGGACATAAAATTAGAACTTAAAGTGGATGAATAAGAGTTAGTAATACAATCAATCTTCACATAACCTTATGGAACAATACTGTTGTATTTATTTTTTTATTGTACTTATTTTAAAGACCTAGAATTCGATGCAGAGAACGGTTAAGAGGCCTGCCTAAAGTCATGAACAAGGAAATAAAATGACTTGCAAACTGAGGAAGTTCATAAACAAATTTGAAAATCTTTAAGTAGGGCCTTGATCTATGTATTGGCCCCATTAATCTGTCTAAAATGTGGTCCTTTTAGAAAGTTTTAAACAAAAGTAAGAAATTACTTCAGGAATCTGAAAAAGGTTCTATGTTTTCATACTCTATCATAAAATGTTCCTCCAAGGCACTTTTTTCTCACACCTAAAATAACATTTTAAAAAACCTTAACATCTCTTCCCAGTCTTCAGAAATTTTTTCAACCATAATTTAAATTTACCCCATTGAAAAAAATAGCAAATCTTGCCCAGTCAGTGTTGCTCAGCAGTTAAGCATAAACCTATGAACCAGGAGGTCATAGTTTGATTCCTGGTCGGTTACGAGCTCCATCCCCAGTAGAGGCCTAGCAGGAGGCAGTTGATCAATGATTCTCTCTCATCATTGATGTTTCTATCTTTCCCTCTCCCTTCCTCTCTGAAATCAATAAAAAACATATTTTTTTAAAAAAGAAAAAAACACACCAGCAAATCTTATTTCAAATGGATTCAGAAATGAACAATTTATGAGAAATGTCCTTCAAAAGATTTTTAAAAGGTTTTTCTGAATTTATAAAGAGTCACTTAGGTCTTTAATTCTCATATTAACTTGGGACTTTTATAAGAAAGTTCAAGCATCTTTAATACTTCTTACATAGTGACAAAGCTACTATGGAAACTTCCTGAGTTTTAGAGACCCAGGAAAGCCACACAAATTAATGGGCAGTTCCCCCTGGTGACTAGAAGAGGTACAAATATAGCACTACTCAGAATAAGATTTTGCAGAAGCATTCAAGGAATACCTTGAGACAACAAAGCTCTTTAAAAAAAAAATAATATATATATATATATTTTATTGATTTCAGAGACGAAGGGAGAGGGAGAGACAGAAACATCAATGATGAGAGAGAATCATTGATCGGCTGCCTCCTGCACGCCCCACACTGGGGATCGAGCCTGCAACCTGGGCATGTGCCCTTGACCAGAATTGAACCTGGGACCCTTCAGTCCACAGGCTGACGCTCTATCCACTGAGCAAAACCAGCTAGGGCTAGACAACATAGCTCTTAAAATGAAACACTCAGAGCCACCACAAACTATTCAAGATGCCTAGTCACTACACAATATTAATTAGACTGCTAGACTCATTCATCTGGCATTTTAGCTTACAAACTCCTATGCATATACTCCCTGCCTTATTTAGTGTCCACAAATGATCTACCCAGTATGCACAGGGTTTTTATTATCCCCATGCAATAATTAGGAAACTCGAGCATAGCAGGTTGACTAACTCCTGCAAAGTCACAAAACTGAGAAGAGGGAGAAGCCAGGACCCAAAGCTTTCCCTCTCATCTCCTGACTTTCTAATAACGCAGGCTGTCTCATCATCTTAGACCACTTAGGTGTTTTATTTTAATAAAACAAAGCTAACAAAATAAGATAAATAATTGGAACTAAAACAAATGATCGTTTAAATCCCTACAAGTGTCTAAAGGTATATTTTCTCACACTTACAAGCCAGTCGGTTATTATCAATTAGGAATTCAGGACACATTTGTAATAGATTTGTGTGGTAGGGCTTGACCTGTAATTTCAATAAAAATACTGTTTTCTATTTTTGATGTAATTGATGTTACTTTTCCAATACTGACTTTCATCAGTTGAGCCACTAGGGTAAATATCACTGTACCTGAGTAAACTCTTAACTTTCCTAAGTCAAAAAAAAAAAAAAAAATCAAATACTTTGTCAGTAGCAGCATCACAAATGGAATCACTAAGGCAGACACACTAGCCTCACCAACCACAGCTCAAACGCTGGGCTATTTAAAATGAAACTGTAATTCCCTTCCTGAAGGTACATACTTACAAGCCTAGAAATGTTACCTTCCTACAAGTCAATGCTTTGTCAGTAGAGAGACAGCAAGTAAGTAAAGAAAAGGAATCTTCAAAGAAAAACTAAGATCATCTGAAAAATGTCTGGGATTTAGAAATAATTTACCAATCCACAACCACTATGAACAATTTAAACTTACCTCCAGCTGGCCTCCCCATGCAGCTGTGTTTATAACATCATCACAGTACTTTCCAAACTCTTCTGTAGAGAATAAACAGAATATAGCACTTAATAATTGTCATAACTCTTGTTATAAAATCCCTCTTTATAGTTTCTACAATTCCTAATAAAACTACTCAAGATTTGAACTTCCTCCTTCTCTACCTGTACTCTCCAGAATTTAGTCCACTTACAGATCCAAACTTAATTCACTACAATTTTCCACCACCTTTCATCCAAGAGCCAAGCATTTCTGCTTCCTTCCCTCAGTCTGAGACCCAAGGAAGGGCCTTAACTACATAACAAGCCTACTTCCCTCTCCTTATCCCAAGCAATGACTCCCCCAAATCGTCAACTTATTCACTACCTTGACATGTACGTTAAAGCCTAAAGCTGCACCTGAAAGAATACGCCAAAAGAATAAAAATGTAGCCTCTATAAAACCTGCTGCACCATAAGATCTTAAGAAATGTGCGAAGAGAATCAGAGTAAAAGCACATGTGTTGAAACTCCTTTCTCAGAGGTAGCATCCAATAGGGCCTTCACTTATTATTTTGGAAACACTTACCTTATTTGCATCAGCATCGTATATAAAATAATATATTTTAACTGCAGAATTAAATACTTAAAAAATTAACTTCCAGTACAGCAACTTGTACTAATATCTATTAAAATTATAGAAAATAATTCTATCTAAATTTTGAGATCTTTTCCCCCATAAGGATTATACCAGTTTTTCTTATTCTGTCTCAGGAGGCATTTGATTTAACAATAACCACCACAACTGCAACACCAAGACATAGTAAAGAGAAATAAATTACCTGGAGTATACATATCTCCTGTATTGGGGTTTGTTAAAAATGGCAGAAAGTCTTCCATGTGGCTTTGCATATAGTTAGCAGTTTGGCTTCTTAAGGCAGCTACAGTCAGAGGGCATTCCCGCTCTTTCAGCTGATCTTCAATGGCTCTATACATACAGTGGCCATCCGAGGGAATCTGTTTAATTTCCAACTGTCTAGCTGCCAATATTTGAGCAAGTTTTTCACTTTCTATATGTCTAGCTCCATATAAGTTCTCAATTTCAGCTTCAGCTATCCTTTCTTTCTGCTCCTTTTCCAATGCAGCTTTTTTATCCTAAGAAGAGGACAACATAGGAAAGTTAACTCATACAAATGAGGACTAATTTACATTTATTAAGGAGATAGAAAGATAAGACTCTTAAAACACTTTTCCATCTTTCTTCCTTCTCCCACAAGCACTATCCTATTGCTGATATCATCACTTGTAGAATCTTCTATACTGAAAACTCCTTTTTTAGGACAAACTACCTTTCTCACCTGTGTATACCCAACACCTAGTTCTGTACTGCGACAAAAGCCCTCAAGTTTTTCCTTGAAAAATGTAAAACTTTTAAAAACTATATGCCTACATGCCAAGTTTCTAAAAACTTTACTTACTGATTTCAATGTCCTGTCTTAAAACTGGCTTATCCTAGTTCTAACGCACACCTTATCAAATTTAAGTCCAGGCTCATACCAAGCTTTGTAACTTACCACTACACCAGTGGTACATTAACATGATAAAGCCTTTAGAAGGGAACAGAAATTCTACTTATATGTATCTAGCTTTGAAGAAAATGTGTGTGTGAACACAGACACAAATATTTTATTCACATAACAGATAAAAATATTCTTCTAGATAAAAAATTGAAATATTATAGATAAGACTAAAGTTCCCCTTAAGGACCACTGCCAATCCCAGTGCCTTCTCTAGCGGTCTGTTGTATATCCTTCTAGATTTTTTCCTATACATTTTATCTATTTATTAATTATTGGTTGATTTTAGAGAGAGAGGAAAGGGGGAGAGGGAGAGAGACAGAGAGAGAAACATCGACTTGCTGTTCTGCTTACTTATACATTCTTGGTTGTTTCCTGTAGTGTCCTAACTGCGGATCGAACCTTAAGCCTTGGCGTATCGGGAGAATGCTCCAACCAATTGAGCTACCCAGCCAGGGCCTCCTTTGCATTTTAATAAATATAGATGTACTCATAGAAAATGTGTAAAAAAACAAAATTTTCTTTTAGTAAAAATGGTATACATTACATCCTGTAACTTGCTTTCCTTATTCAAATGTCCTAAGAAATCTTCCCATAAAGTGTATGCAAAGAAGGGGGGGGGGGCAATGAGAGATTTGTGATATGAAGGATGGATAGGAGGTAGAATGAGAAGGTTGGAGAAAAAGAGAAAACATTCTTGACAGTTGGACTAGGAAGGGTGAAAAACCAGAAGCAATATGTCACACAGATGAACAGAGCGCATATAACTAGAATACCAGAGAAAAATGTCAAGAGCTGAGGTTGGAGAAAAAAAGATAGTTACAAACAGTCCTGACTTAACGAAGCTTTGACTTAAATTTGTTTGACTGTACGATAGTATGAAAGCATGCACATTCAGTGGAAACCTTACTTCAAATTTTGAATTTGATCTTTTCTCAGGCTAGCAATACGTGGTAGGATACTTTTTCATGACAGCGGCAAGTGACCATGAGGGTAAACAACCATATGCTACAGTGCGGTCATTGTGTTAGATGATTTTGTCCAACTGTAGATGAATGTAAGTGTTCTGAGAACATCTACGGTAGGTTAGGCTAAGTTGAAACTCAGTAGGTTAAGTGTGTTAAATTTCATGAGTGTTAGTTCAGGTCCTTTGACAAAGAACTCCATCATTTTTTTCCTACTCTCTTCTTATATAACACGTAAGATGTACTGAGCACACAGCACTGACTTAAATACTTGGTGAAAAGACTTCCATACCCGTCTCTTTTGTGCTCTTGATATCCGAGGCGGCTGATTCTCAAGAACCAAGTTTGAAATGTTAACAGCATCAAAATCGCTCTAAAAAAAAAAAAAAAAGAAAGAAAAGAAACAGAGAAAGCATTAACTAGTTAATAAAAAATACTTTTAAATTAGTATTCAAAGTATCAGAGCAATTATTGAAAATCACAAATATGTGTAATCCCGTAATTCAAATTTGAGGAACAGCAGTAGGTCAGTATTAGATAGCATAGTTCTGTCTCCTTTCTCTCTTTATAAGAGAACATTTGCAAGATCCACAAGAAGTTTCCTTAGAGCCTTCCAAGACAATGTTCCTCCCTGCATGCTTTTCTTCCTTCTTAGCATGCCCACCCATTAATCTAAATAATGTTTCTAAGGCCAACACATTCAGCACTCTACCCTTTCCTTCTCTAAATGTTAGTACTCACAGGATAGACAAGGTCTCGTGCTGGCTCAGTGCATTACTATCTTCTTAACCGCAAATGTGGCATTAACATAATTAACCAGAACCTAATGAGCATTGCTTCTTGACCCTGGGAACAAGTTGAGTTTTTACTATCTTTTCCCATCTACTATAGGTAGAATTTAAGTTATAAATATCATCAAGACATTACAATGAATTTTAAACATTAAATGGGGATCATGTACTTGCTGGAGAAAAAAGATGTTAGCCTTTTAACTATCAGGATTAGTAGCTCGTATTTTATTACTGAAAATAAGTGAAGCTAGTTTTTAGTATGACACATACACACACAACATTCAGTGCCTCTAATAACTCGCCAAGGCTACAGTCCAAATGACCAAAATATCAAATCAAAATCAGATTAAGATTTCAAAGAGTGGTTATCACCTTTAGCGAAATTAGTATTCTTGTATTTTTCAGAGGAATCTGTTAAAATGTATAAATTGCCATACTGACAATAGGCAAGATACAGAGAAGCAAAAAGAAAAAAAAGAGAAAGTAATGACATAATTCAGGCAGCTTGCAGAAAGGAAACAAGCTTAACTTAATGAAAAAGTTAGTAGTCCAAAATAAAATGGCAGTTTGTATTTGAACAGTTGGGTAATATGTAGCTTAAGAATCAAAGATTTTTGTCCCTAGAAACCCAGGAAAGAAATTTCAAAACAGAAAGACCTGAGAGAACAAACAAAACTATCTCACTAAAAAGATGGGGAGACAAATAGGAACACCATGATTATGACAACACAATTAAAAACCCGGAGCACCAAACTTGTGACCTGCCAATAACATATCTAAGGGCACAGAAGGCCCGGATCTTGATGACTGGCTAATAAAGTTAAGGAAAATGAGACTGTTTTACACAACAACCGCTGTAGGTCAGTACATACAAGCTGTTTTCCCTGGCAACAGCAGACCAAAAATGAACCAAACAGAATAAAATGTAATTATGGCAGGAGAATTCTGCATAGACATAAAGAACTTCCTGACTACCGAAATGGAGTGAGGTTATGGGGTCTGACCTTTGATATCCAAAACCCAAGCAATAAACTACCCCATGATACAAAATTATAACAGAACTCCACGTTCACATCTGGCTTTGGCACTTAGCAGATGCTATGAATTCAGGACAATGTTCTTAATCTCAGGGAGTCTGTTTCCCACTTGAAAATGGGGTTACCTGCGCTTACGTCATAAGTAATACCTCCGTGTGTTACTCTGAGAACCATCACGAGATGTTGCATGCAATACGGCCAACACAGTGCGTGGCACACAGCACCTATCAGCTATAATAATAAAATGATGACAACATGCCCCAATTTACCCAAGAAGCCAGTACATTTTCCTTCATTACCTGTCCCGAAAGCACTTTTACGCCTTAAAAGTGATTTCACACTCACTGTCCCTCTTGATGCAGACAGTACCTTTACTCAAACAGCAGAGTCTGAGGATATCTGGAGAAATTTATGCCCAGGAAAAGGTTTTTTGTTTTTGTTTTTTTAAAAATATATATTTTATTGATTTTTTACAGAGAGGAAGGGAGAGGGATAGAGAGCTAGAAACATCGATGAGAGAGAAACATCCATCAGCTGCCTCCTGCACACCCCACACTGGGGATGTGACTGCCACCAAGGTACATGCCCTTGGCTGGAATCGAACCTGGGACCTTTCAGTCCGCAGCCGACACTCTATCCACTGAGCTACATCAGCCAGGGTGTGCCCAGGAAAAGTTTAAGTAACTGTACCCACGTTACAACCATACTTAATGGCAGTTTGGGGACCACACATCTGTCCTTCCAACTTTCATTGGGTGAAAGCCTCCTCTAGTCCACATTACCCATCTGCCCGTCTTCTGGGCAAGGACGAGTTAAAAGTGTCCCTTCTTTTGCTGACCTCCCTTTACAAAAACACACACTCGACCACAGAAAGAATGAAGGCAACGCCTGCGCATGACTGGGCGATTCCATCTCCCTCCACACGTACGATTTTATGCGGCTGATGTGGACACCTGCTGTCCAGCACCGGGGGCGGGGAGAGACCCACCTGAGCCTCCTGGGAAGCCCGCTTCAGCTGCTCCAGCTCCTCTCTGTGCCGCTGCTCCATGTCTGCCTCCAGCTTAGCAACCTCTTCCGTGAGCTGCTTCCTCCTCTTCTTGTCATTCTTGGGAACGGCATTCTTCATACCTTGAATTTTGGCTGGAAATCCACCAAAAAACAAAACACAAACACACACTTTTAAGTCCAAATCGAGGGGTTAGAGTTAATGAGAAATAAGGGGATGGTGAAGGGAGAGGGTAGAGAAAAAGTAACTATGGAAACAAGAGTGAGTGCAGAGCAACCCGACCAGGACCGAGAGGAGCCAGAGGAAGAAGCTGAGTGGCCCCCGCCCTCCAGACAGTCTCATTGACGACCCTGTGAGTTGGCCGTGGCGGGCGACAAAAGAAAAATAAAAATGACGGAAGTGTCTCCATCTTTTCCAGCACCGCTTCGGACCCCCCAAATTGAGGTGAGATATTTCCAAACGCACCCACGAGGGCCAAGGGCAGGTGACAGGGCAGGTGACGGGAGGGAGGCGGGGCTCGTTCTCCCGGGCGGCGCGGAGGGTCTCAGACCCCGGCACTCGAGGGGCGCGGGGCAGGGGACCGCGGGGCCGAGAAGGGGGCGCCCCTGGGGATGAGAGGATTCAAAGACTCCGGGGCAGGCGAGGCGAAAGGGAGTCGCCCACCGGCCACTCTGGAGAAGTCTGGGACGAGGCGGATTCGAAGCCACGACCCCCCTCACCTTGCAACTCCTTCTTCTCTTTGCGTTGCTTTCTCACCAGCTGCTCCTCTTCGTCCAACTCGTCTGCCAAGCCTTCCTCCATGTCCACCCGGTGCCCGCACTCGGAGGAACAAGCCGGCGCCGCCGGCTGGCGGGCACCTCCCACCCTTCACCCCTCACCCCGCGCGCCATTGGCTAGGCTGGCGCTAGCCCCGCCTTCAAGGCGGAACCGGATAGGCCAGATCTCTGGCAGGAGGAGGCGGGGAAAACGGAACGCTCGCACATGCGCACTGTAGTGGGACACGCCCACCCTGGAGGGGAGCGGGAGCCGGGAGGCGCGGGGCGGGCTTTGCGGATGGAGGGCGCGGTGTGAGCAGGGATGAGGTCGCTGCCTGGAGCCTTTTGGGCCAGAAAGCTGCGCTCAGGGCTCTAGGTCCTGATGTGAGGCGCGCAGAGATGACATAGTGAGGACCATTTTGGAAATTTGGGTTTTTTTGTTCCATTGCTTTTTTAAATCTCACTTTTGGTTCCATGGCTAAGAAGGCCTATTGAAAAGGTAAGAAAAAAAGAAAAGGTAAGAAAGAAAAATCAAACGTCAGTAAAACCGTTGAGAACTATCAATAGGAATCCCTCCGTTGAATCAGTCAAACAGTAGGTAGTAAGTTGTTTATTGTTTTAAAAGTGTTTAAAATAATAGCAACAGAGGCACTTTAAAATGGAGTTTGAGCTGCCATCCCCAGGGCAACGGGACTCGCAGATCTTACTCCTCAAACCTTTGGAATTTGTTAAAATGGCCTTTGGACTCGGCCTAAAACAGCATTGCATCCAAACAATAGTTTGCAAAGATGACAATAAAACCAGGCTAAAAATTAAACACGTGAATTAGCATCACTGTGTTAGCTAATCTGCACCTACAGAAACTCCTGTTCATGTAATTGCTTCCCTTCCTTTCCTCATAAATACCCCTGCCTTTGTTGCCTGTGGGCCCTGACAATAAAGATACCTACTAGAAGGGATCCTGGCGGCCAAATGGGCTCAAATTTTTAAAAATAGAGCTTTGCCCTGGCCCCTGTGGCTCAGTGGTTGGAGCCTCGTCTTGTGCACCAAGGGGTCATGGGTTCAATTTCTGATCAGGTGGCAGGGTCCCTTGTTGAGGGGTGGGCATGAGGCAGCCGATCGATCTCTCCAATAACCCATACGTTAGCTGAACTTTCCTTGGTTAGTTTTGTATTTAGCACTGGATATATAGCTTCTGTATCTAAGAAGAAGTTGATTCGTTAGTTCCCTGCTGTCAGTGGTACCCGGGGCTCCTGTGTTGTTTTTGCCCCCACAAACCAACATCCTTCATTGCCTGGGGGCCATATTGAGCAGTACAGAGATGGGAGTTTTATGTTAAAAGGGAAGTGAAAATAATTACACCAAAATTGGTTTTAGTGTTGTGGCGAAAGTAGGATTCCCCGGTTCCTTGTAGAGAAGGGCGGATTCTCCATTCGGCTCAGAATTCCTCATTTAAGTCTCATAGCTTCTCAATGAAGCCATTTCTAGGATGCTTTAATAGAATTTTTTTTTATCCGCTTTTTGTACTTTTAACCGTCTCTCACAGAAGAGATTAAATGGAAATTGTGGAGAAGTACAAAGACAGAAACAGCCTCCCCGGAGGGTGCTTCTCAGTAGTCAAGCAGGCAGCCGGCCCAGAGCCTTTTCAGGGTAATATCTGAGAGAAATGAGAGTCATCTATTTGGAAGAAACAGTAAACAAGTTGCAAATTTACCAGAATTTTATGAGCCTACTGCTCTGCAGAGGAATGGAAACACATGAATCCAGACTAGCTATAAACTGAAAATGCAATCAACAGATTATGATGATAATACCTTTCTCTTTGGTTTCCTTAGCTGAGTAATAGGGCAAAATGCCATTTTAAGGCATCATCACAAATGACTGGTTACTTATATTTAAGAGGATGCGATGTTTTCCTAAGCATACATTTAGAATTAGTTAAGTCACATTGTTGCCTTTGTTACAGGGAGGCTTAACTTACCATCTTTGGGGCTTATCCATATTAAATAATAAATGTATTAAACATCATTTTCCAAGGTAAAATATGTACTCTGGTATACATGATTTCACACCTGAGAGAGAAAGTTGTTTTTTAATTGAAATTATTTTAAATTTAAAAGTTTCAAGGTTTAGAGGGCTTTTCTAGTTTTATGATAATTTATACTACTGATTTTTATATATTCTTTTTAAGATGATTCAGTGCTTTCCCTCAGTGTGACTGTCATTGGCCTTCCTGATTTGGGTCTGTGGGCTTAATTCAAAGCATCTAATCCTAATCTGTAAATGCTCTTCTAACTGTTAATTGTATGATGGATTTTTTTTTTGTTTATTTTGCTTGAAGGTTATTCATACTTTTTAATTGGCTAGAAATAAAGTTATTCCTGCTTATAAAAATAAATTCATAAAATTATTTAAGTAAATGAAAGACAAGGTCAGAGGTGAGTAGATTATAAAAAAAAATTTGCTATGAAGGGTATAAACATAAAAGGAACAAAACAGTGTACAACACAAAAACAGTTTATTAGAAAACCCAGAAAAGGAGATTTTAAAATAGGGTCTTTGTTTCAATTAAGAAATAATGGTTAATACATAATACCTAGTTGTACTTAAATGCAATAAAACAATTAGCTCAAAATAATGCTAAGAGATTATATTGAAATGGTTCAGATGTGGGTATTGGATTCATCTAGCCTTATCTCTAACAGGAAATGTGAAGTGCCCAGAAACAATTAGAAAAATATGTTAATAAAAAATGAAAACCCCACCTAGCTGGTGTCGTTCAGTAGTTGAGTGTCAGCCTATGCACCAGGAAGTCATGGTTCTATTCCCTGTCAGGGCATAAGCCCAAGTTTCAGGCTCAATTCCCAGTAGGGGGCAAGCAGGAGGCAGCCAGTCAATGATTCTCTCTCATCATTGATGTTTCTATTTCTCTCTCCCTCTCCCTTCCTCTCTGAAATCAATAAAAATATATTTTAAAGAACACCAATATACCTATCCAGTCTTGAAATTGAGGTGTAGAAGTAGTGACCAAGTGTTTAGTAAATGGGAACACGGGCCCATTCCCATGCTCCAACTCTCCCTCCCACCCCGTGGGAAATATAATGAAGGCCATCAGTTACAGACTGTGCGACCTTGGGAGTCTAGTCAGCTCCCAAGTCAAGAAAACAGCCAGCAGTTTTGACCTTACATAGCTTGCTTGAAAGCACATCCCCCTTCCCTTGTACGACCTGTTTTTCTCTGTTTTCTGTACTCTATAAAATCTTGTGTTGGGAAAGTATGGGTGGTGGCAAAACAATGGCACTGGCCAGCACCCTCCGTGTGGCCAGTCAGCAGGCCGATGGGACTTAGCAGTTCAACTTCACTAGTGACAGCATGTGTGGCGGAAACTTACCCACCTGGCTTCCATGGGGTCTTCCCATGTGTAAGTAATAAAGGCTATGTCCTTCACCTCTGGTCCTTGTCCCTGATTTTTTTAGGACTATCAAAGAACAGCGTGGTGCTCCCAGGAATGGAGCTCTTATGTTATACCAAGGAATAATCCATAGGATGGATGGATATATATATATAGTGGGGTTTTAGAGAGGAAGGGAGAGGGAAATAGAAACATCAGTGACAAGAGAGAATCATTGATCGGCTGCCTCCTGCATGCCCCCTACGGGGGATTGAGCCTGCAACCTGGGCATGTGTCCTGACCTGGTTCATGGATCAACGCTCAACCACTGAGCCACATCAGCCAGGCTATGTTACATATTTTTATAGAATTATACAAGTTTTTATGCACATTGGTGTGTGTGTGTGTGTGTGTGTGTGTGTATGAGGATTCAATGAGGTTAGCAGAAATTATATTACCATTTTATATATGGTGTCAAAATGGCTCAAAATAGTTGAGTCCTGTGTAAGTTAGATAGCCAGTGTCAGTTTCATATGCAATATCATGACTCTAGATCATATTGTATGGAGCTTTTTCTTTGCATTTCAAATTCTCTCCTTCTAAGGACTTAAATTTGTGCTCAAAATGTTTCACAAGAGATTGAATGACCTGCTTTAGGATTCCCAGTAGCCACCCAACGGTACTAAATTTTCTTGTGACTATAATTGTGTTGATGTTTTACATTCACATTTTACTATGTTTACATTTTTAAAACAATAGTAATTTAACATGAAAATAAAAATGTACATTTAAATTTTTATTCTCATTAATGAACTTCAAAAACTCTGCTCCAAGAGTGATATTTCTTCAGATATTTCTTTAATTCATCTCAGTTTATCTGCTCCCTAATTTTGAGGTACTTTGTTTATATTCTTTTGTAGTATCAGTTGTTAAGTTGCCTTTAATTTTCATCATCTTAGTTCTCATAACTAAGATGAGGAAAATAAGGAGTGGACTTTGCTTTTTCAAAAAAAAAAAAGGCATCAAACTAGATTATCTTCCTGGGAATGACAGTTCAAATTAATCAACTCTTTTTTTTTTCCTTAGAGAGAGAGAGAGAGAGGATATGAATGAATGAGGGAAAGATTGAGAGAGAGACAGCTGAAGTCAATGAATGAATATGAATAAGGGGAAAGATTGAGAGAGACACAGGTGAAGTCAGCCAGTGCTCAGGAAGAGAGGGTATGTTCCTCAAGCTCTGAAGAATCAAGTGCCTATGCGTTTAATTAGCAACATCTTGGTACTCTGTGCCTCATTTATATGCTCTTATTTGGTGTGTTACATTTCTGCCATTATCCTTGTGAAAGGAATTTTAGAGACAAAACAGGCAGGCTTAGGGAATAAAGAGGGTCCATGGGAGAGGAATGCATATGTGAAGGACAGAGGTATCTCTGGCCTGAGCAATTAAAGCAACTATAAGGTAGATCAAAAGCAGTCCTGACCTGAGCAGCTTGGAGAGCCATAGGGGAAATAAAACATCTCCAGCCAGGACAACTGAGAGAGAGCCATAAGGGAGGAGATCAAAAGCAACTCCAACCTGAACAGAGAAGATGGATATGTGAAGGCTAGAGAAATGCCACAGGATAAGGGGGAAGACATACATTCATGGAGGATAAAAAAAAAAAAAAGTCACAGGATATGGGGAAGAAGGAAGCATTTTGGATAGAGGAATGTTGCAAGATAAGGGGGAGAGGGAAAGGGGGGA